AAGGTTTCCGATTTTATTAAGTGTTGTCAAGAAAATCGTGTTATTTAACAAGATATCTCAACCAAACTTATCCAATATGTGTATTTTTATAAATGTCAGCTTTATGCCAAAAATCATCTAGTTTGAAGAATTATTCCATTGGAACAATCACACAACAAATTAGTTCTCTTATGAAAAGATTTTTTTTTAAATTTTCTCAATCAAACTCACCAGAGTTTTTAATTCTTCTGAAAAAAACAAGTAGCTTTCTTAAAAAAAAATCGGTCGGTTTTTTGTTTTAAATTTAAGATGTTGTTAGCAATTTGACTCGGGTCTAAAAGTATATGTAATCTCCGGCTTGCCCAAGATAGCCGTTGTTTCTTGGGCTTACTATAAACTTAATGTTAAAGTTGATTACAGTCGTAGAAGGTCTTGCAGAGTTTTTCTATTTAATTATTGCTACTTGCGTGCATTTCAACCAACAATTTATCAAATTGTAATGCAGGAAATTAACAAAATGGGCGCGCGTAAAGGCAATTAAAAGAAAATTAACAGCTGAGCAAAAGCCAAAAAGGAAACCCCAATGCGTGTGTTGTGCAAATTGTTATTGTTGCCCAGGTTATTGTGTGGCATGTGTGTGTGTGTGTGGCATATTGTTTTGAAATGTTCGCTGCACACAAATATAATTATCATCACTTATGTGTTGCATTTGTGTGTACATTGTTTCATGGCGTTCCATTGTCTTCCATTTTGCAATGTAATGCAAAAATCAACAACAACAATAGCATGGCGCTTCATAGAAAAATATAAATACATGCATATATATGTATTGTACAGGTATGTGTATGTATAAACCATGGGCGGAATATGTTAACTGTGTTAAGAGAAGGGAATGACTAGATCTTAGGATCGTAATACAATTCTCATCATCAGTTTTAAAAAACTATATATATTCGCTGTCATTAATGGCAAAGTAAAGTTTGAATTACAAATCAGAATTTGAGATTGAGATTGACTCAATGAAAGTGATGACATTACAGGTAAAAGGAGAAAATTAATTGGATTCAATTCAATGTGGTGAAAAAATGAATTTTTTATACAGAGACTGAAAATGTTGTCAGCTTGAACTCACCTGTCAGTTTGTCAATTTGTAAATTCTCGATCGCATGATGAAGCAAATATTTGGTATACACTCATATCTATTTCTCTCGATTATTATTATTCTTTTTTTTTTTATTATTGCCTGCGAGCTATAAAATGTGTGCAAAATTCAAAAAAATCACAATTTAAATACGTAGCTTATGTCATCGCATCATTTTGTGCTGAATGAATAATGAATGCTGCGAAATGTGTTTTATTTCAAAAACTAACTAAACCTGCACAAGTGACAAGGCAAATACAAAATTTCATGATATATTGCAGCTGTTTGCTGCTGTTGTTATTATTGTGAATTGGTATTATTTTGCTGGCAATGATTTTGCCAACTGAACAAATTCTTTGTCTAGTTTAAGTGATGCATAAATATAAATTAATTGGTTTGGTAACAGCTCTCTAAGCAGGCAGCTGCTTTGTTTCACAGCTGCCCTTTGCAATAATAGCCCAGGTTCAACCAATTTGAATGTTAGTCGTTGGACTCTAAAGGTAAGAATTTATATGAATGGTTTTGTTTTTGAACCTGTTTCTACGTTTGACGTTGACGCAACTTTTGACTAGCTGCAAATTATAATAAAAATATGCTAATACAGTAGGTCTGGCTAGTTTATTGGACAATAATTGGTTTGGATTAGCCTTAGAATCCTATTCACATTATGCATGCGCATAAATTATGGCGAAACTGTAAATTATTTGTTCAATTAGTTGGATTGGTTGGCCTTTTGTGGACTTGGCTAACCAAATTTTGGTACAATTTGATTTTTTTGACACGAATTTCTTTTCAAGGCTCTTGCTTATGACATTTTCGGGAGCTTCTTCAGCACCTCATTTTTATTTTTTTTTGATTTTGATTATCTATTTTGCGTTTTTATTGGTCTATTAAACTAGATTTAGATATTGGTTAGTTAACAGTTAAACGTCTTACTTACATGCATTAAAATCTACTTGAGTTCGTTTATGAAAGCAAAGGAGTTTTACGTTTTTTATAAACTTGAATCTTGCATACCCTTTAAGTGGGTTTTAGCTGCAATTAGACCTTTTCACTCGAAAGTATTGCGGGTTGGACGTTCAAGAGTGTTCAATATACAAAGCAGTAAAGCCGGTAAAGAAAAGTTTAGAAAGAAAGAAATGTTGCCTTTCACATTTCACAAAAATGTACAATGCTGCCCCCAAATATCATTGCCCTACTACGCCACATGCTGCCACGCCCTGGACCGCACCGCTTCGGATCGCCCTGCCCTTCCCCCGTTTGAAAGCAACAGTTTAAAGTGTGAATTGTTTGTGAGCTGTTTATAGAATTGTAGCGCTGTTGTTGTTTAATATTATGAAGAACTGCGCGTTAGCCATTCAAAATCGTAAACATTCCAAAAATTGGGGGGCAAACACAATTTTATTAATCAAAACTCAAAAGTCGAAAAAAGCAAAAGATGTTTACAAAACGGCACGATGCGAGGCCAGCAAAAATATATTATCTTTACTGTACATAAACATATATATTTAACTTTATTTACTTTTCTTGGGCAGAAAATGCAAAATGTCAAAAAATATATGACTTCGATGTCACATTTTAAAGCCTTGGGGGCGTTTTGATAAGCTGAATGCTGTTTACGAAAGTGAGAACATTTTATTATTGCATGTCTACACATCAATTTTTAATGCAGCTATTTAAAATGACAAGAAAAAAAATAAAATAAAATATTAAGAAAAAATATAACAAGGAATAAACACAGCTTTGTCGCCAGGGTCTGCCAGGGTAGTAACCATCAGCGGCGTCATTATAATATCAAAATAAAATTCAACATAAATAAGAGCAAAAAGCATTTAAATTTTGTCACACATTAGCTTTGAAATGAAATTCGAAATCTGCAAACACTTGAATTGATTTTTCTAAATGCTTGCCAAGAGAAATAATAAAATAAAAGAAGAATGAATGGCATGCCGAATATGATATACCCTTGCATATAAACAGATAGATGAACATGGCTATATCTATTCGGGTAGTGATGTTCATTCTTCCTTAATGCGTTGCAAACTTAATGCTAAATCTATTATACCCCATGCAAGGGTATAAATTAATGATAAAAACAAAATTGACATTGAAAATGCTACAAAGCTAGATTAAGAGGAATTAAGCACAATATGCTAATGCAAAGCCACACACAGACTTCAATTTAAAGATAATAGTTAATGCTCGAATTGCAGATACCCTGCAACTTAGGAGCAACGTTAAAGTTGTGCCATTTTCATACATTTTCTCCACATTTTGCCTGTGAAAAACTTCCACAACTTTATTAGACATTTATGTTACACTAATATGCCCATTTTAAATGAAGACAACTTTTAAAAAAGCAACGAAAAATTCACGTATATGCATAAATTAGTCAAGCCATTAAATTTAGCATAATTTTGTTTAAAACAAAACTGTTCAGATGCTCGAAGACACCTTTAAACTGTCAACAACAACGAAGCGGAGGCAGCAACAAATGTTTAAACTTCAAGTTTAATGACTTTTACGTAGTTTGTTGAAATGAGCCATTGATGATCAGGCAACCAGCACCACTAATAACAGCACCACCACCAGCACCACGCTCGTATCTGCAAATTGATGGAGCGTTTGTCAAATTTGTTTTCAGGCGCAATCAATTTTAATGCTACAATATTTCATAATTTGTTTTAAATTTATGTGACTTGAGCCAATTTCATTAAATTGCCAAAAAAAAAAAAGAAAAACAAAAAAATGCCATAGATGTAACGTTGCTAAATATTTGTGCGTTTGACCTTTTCTGATATTGGGAAAGTTTCGACGATGATTCAGGAGCATACAATTAAACTAAGCTTGGGGTTCAGTGATGCGAAACTCCAAGATGAGTCACCTATTGTTATAATAAAATATAAGGTATATAGATGTATATTTCAATGATTGGAAAATGACATTGGGTAGTCTTTTTAGCTAATTAAGAATATCTAATTTTTGTTTGCATAGCTTCGCTCGACTTGAAAGAAAGAGAGTTTAAGCTAAATGCAAAGCAGCGGATCTTTAAACCAAACGTTGTCATGCTTATTTTAACCCATTTTCAAAGAGTCTACTTAACTGTGTCATGGTTAGGTCATCTAAATAACCGTAGAATTTTCACGTTCATAACACCTTTTGCACGTTAAGGTGTGAACAAATTCTGTTGCGCTCATTTGCTTCTGGCGCTTGAGAGAAACTTCATTTTTTAGCTGAGTTCTGAGAAAATCTCCGAGATAATGCTACTTGCAACTAGTACGCCAATTAGCGAAAGCCACTAAACAATTTGACAATGGTGCTAAGCAAATTTGAATGTCATTTGCCACAAACATCTTTTTTTTATGTCTTTCAACAGCTTCTTGTTTCATAATTTTGTTTGAGGTTGACAGTTGGTCAAACGGAAAATCTATTAGATATTTTTGTATATATATACATAAATATATTTATCGTAGCATCTCCGAAGGCGGTATTTTTTTTATTGTTTTTAAATGGTTTTTTAAATGTTGTGTACGGTAATTGTTTTATCCCCTTCCCAGCTAGTTGTTGCAGTTGTAAGGCGTTGTACGCAACTACAAAGAAAAGCTATATATTAATGGGTGGTTTAAGCTGCTGTGCAATATATAGCTTCAGGTTGGGTTTAAGTTTAACATTTAATGGTTTTTTAATTGATGTGCTAACGTTTTAAGAAGCTGCACAACTCATCGAAACTAAGAATAATATTTGATTTCATTACGATTATTAGCTACTGCATTTAATTTCTAATTAGTCGAGTGATACCAGTTAAGCAAATGTGATGCATTAAAAAATAAGTTAACATTAAACCGACCATTCAACTAAATGATTTATTTTGTAATTGCAGAACCCAACGAATACTACTAGAAACCTCCGCATCTCCGGCACTCATCTAGACAATTTCAAAAGGTAAACTATCAAGTGGAGGAGAAACGTGAACTGAAATACCCCTTGTGGCAATCATAAAGAAAAGCTAGCATCAAGGGTCGTTAATCAAAATGCAGGCATATCAGAAATAAAACGCACAGTTTACCGTGTCTCACACATGGCGCATTGCATCATTAACGTTCTGCCCATGAGATGGTGTATTTATGACATGTGTCTCTCTATGCAGATATGTACCTGCCTAACGGCCTGACTGGCTGACTGCCTGGCTGCCTGTATACTTCTAAGATAGATTATACTTGTGCATAGTGCGTACATCTAGTTGAACGAGTCGCGAGTGAAACGGCGTCAAATTGAATTAAAATTGAATGAAATTAATTTGACATATAAGTTGTGTTGGGGCGTCTGTCTGTTTGTCTGACTGCCTATTTGACTGTTTGTCTGGCCGATTGTTGTAGCTTTCAACAAAGCGTTAAAGTTACACGTGTACAGCTTCAGATATAGCTGCAGACACGCATATAAACAAGCTGCGTCTGATGCATCTGTAAGATGAAAGCAGCGCTTGCTCTTGTGCACATGTCGAGCAAAAATCAAAATGACAGCCACAGTCGCCGGCAGTTGGGAGAGCCCAGGACCGAGAACCAGGCGCGCACATCCGATAGATACAATAGCTATAGTAGAATGTAGTATATACACACACATCTGTGTGTGTGTGTGGGGGATTGCATTAAAAATAGCCACAGAAATGATCTACACGTAGCTGCCGGGGCTGCTGTTGCTGCTGCTGCGGCTGCTGCTGCGTGCTGCCTGTTTGCCTTCTACGACTATCTAGTATATATACTTATATGATATATTTTTCATCAATTTTTCGGAATAGTTCCCCGGGTGCATTGCCAATTGCGTAGGCGTCGCTTTTTCCATCTATCTACTTTTTAGTTGTTGTGTATTTTTATTTCTTGTATTTATTTACTTCATTTATAACAGCTTTTTGTTGCCCCGACATTTCCTTTCCCGATTTTCCGTTAGTTTTCAACTGGGCTACAACCAGAGCAAAAAAAATAAAATTCCTAATAAATTAAAAGGCGTTTGGCGCCCCAAGTCTATTGCATCTATTAGATATGTATCTCTGCTGCAAATTAATGATTGATTTACATTATTTGTTTTTTTGCTGTTGTTGTGCCTCATGCTTTCTAGTCTTTTAGTAGTCTCATTTCCTTTGCAATGTGGGACAATCTATAATAATTTTGAAAATTGACAGAACGTGGGGCGAAGTGGTATTATTTAATTTAATTGATATGCTAATCAGGGTGTACCTAGCCATAAAATGATCTATTGCATCTGCATAACAGTTGTTATAGAATAGAGTTAGCCTTGGCATCACAAATGGAAATTCGTTGGTTTTGACTGAATGATCAAGCGGTCGGCTGCATTAGCTCATATATACTAATATTTATATTAGATTTGATTACTGAGAAGATTTTTTATGTGGTATTTCAACCATTTGCCGGCACAATCGTACATAGTTTAACCCTAGCAGCTACAAATACAATTGCAACGAAAAGGTCAGGTTGCGTGCAACGAGTGCCAGCGTCGCCTCGTCGTTTCTCAGCGTATGCAAATTCCATGCAGTAAATACTAGGAAATCAGCGAAGCATGCAAGTTGCCCGAGCATTCAGGCAGCCTCCCTCTTGTTGGAGAGCTGCTCCTCCTCCTCCTCCTCCCCCCGTCTTCTCCTCAGCCAGCACACGGTTATTCACACGCATAACGCCCAAAATGGCAGCCGAAGTTAACTTGCAAATTGCAACATTCGCATGACAACAGCGCCATCTCGCGGCCTGTGAACAAGCGCTGAGCTATTGTATTGTTAATCTAATCGGTACTGCGAGTACCTGACTCAATCATATATGTGTACACACACTTATACATACGTACGTACATCTGTATGTGTAGTAGTGAGTTTTTGTATTTAATTTTCATCTTTGATCATTATTGTATTGTTTGCTGCTGTTGTTGTTGTTGTTGTTGTGTGTTGTCTGTGCTCGCGTAATCAGGGTGTAACAATTACGCATTTTGAATTACGGATAGAATCACTAGATGGACAGAGTGATATAGCCAACAGTCAGACAGTCAGGCAGCCAGAGGGTCAGGCAGTCAAATAGTCAGCGCTATAACTTGGCTTAATTTGCCACAGCCCGTCACGTCTTACCCAGCTAGCTGTTCTCATTCGGCCCATTCGAGCCGCGTTAAGCTCGGCATGAGTGTGAATAGTATATGCGAAATGATTTTGAAATACTAGAAAATATGATTCGTCAACAGCAACTCTCAATCCGCTGGTCTTTGCTTTAGAATCTAGATTCTCATTTAGTTTGAATTTTTTTGTGGTTGCGCTTTGCATTTGATTGGCATTTTTGTTATGCTTCATGCTTAATTAAACGCCATAAACTTGGCTTATTGGGTTACCACGCCATCTGTTGGCCACAATTTATATTACACGATTGCACCATCTGGAATTTGAGCTAAACAATAAACCAAATATTCAACTTTTTAGCTAAATAATGAGAGCTCTTAATGTGGGTGTGTCGATGCCCGCTAAAATTAACAGTTAGAATGTAAAAAATAAAAAATGAACGTGTAACATATACTTAAAAGATAAAAGATCAAATGGCATTTGCGAAGTGTTTGCGGTAGGCAAATTGTTTACTATTAAGCAAATTGCAGCAAAATTGGATATATTTTTTTTCGAAAGGAGCTATAGCTGTTGGCCATATGTAATTGAAATTCCACACAAAATGCACGTAAGTATTTTGTGAACATTTTATGAAAATTTAAAGTCAGTTTGAATCGTTTGGTTATCCAAAATTGATGACGCACATTTTGGATGTACAATAAACAAGGAAACAAATTGTGCTAAATTGTGTACGACATTACGTTCTTTCAAATGATATGTTATAAGCAGTATCTCATTTGCTTATAGAGGAAATCCGCCCCTGTTTGCTTAGCCATGTAAAACGAACGATATTAAATCAATTGCCTATCGAGACATTTGCGCGCGTAACTCTTTTCAAAACATCGCCCCACAATGACGCGCAAAACGATCGAAATTGTTCCAGTTCAGTTGGAAAAAACAGAACAACAATAACAATGAACAAGCAGCACAAATAACAAATTAAAACAAAAGCAACAACTGCAAAGTGGGGGATACAAATTTGCGCGATCATTGTGCTGGGAATAGCCAATGAATTTCGCTTGTAGGTGAATATATTTTCTACATACGTATATATATATATATATACATATATATATTTATATATATATTTGTGTGCATATGTTTTAGCTTATTTTTGTTATCTGTTATATTCGGATCGTGCAATGTCCATAGAACAAACTAAATAAATAGTTGCTCATAAGTGCGTCATTCAAAGTTGTAAGTTTGGTTGGATTACTGACGATCTTCTTTCAAAATCGAGCCTAATGCCGCGCCCACTCTCGCTTCTGCAAATAGATAGATCCTAAAATAGATACATACATACATATTCTAACAATTTTAATAAACAAAAAGGCTTTCTTCTACCAATTTTAAGCAATTGCGTTTATAGGAACAGAGTATCGCACGTCGGCTATATCCGATTGCAACATTTTTATGTGTTTTCATTTTCAGTAGATCAGTTAAACCACAACAGCAACAACAACAACAACAATGTGAGCAGGGTCGAGTATTTCAAATGAAATTGAAATTAAGTATTGATTGTAATTTGAACTGAGGCATGCACTACACACACACACACACACACACACACACACACACACACACACACCACACACACACACAAGCACACAGAGCTGCAATGCAAATTGGGCAACTACCATAAATTATAGGCGATATGGCAACGCCATGCGCGATGCGCACCATCGATCGCAGCTTGCCATTAAAATGGCAAACAAATCGACAGCAAATGAATGGCAAAAGTAACTGGAAATCGCTGTAAATTAACTAAATCAGCAGTTGCAAATGGCCAGAGGAGAATCGCGATTGCTTGCGAGAGAGAGAGAGAGAGAGAGCAAACAGCCAAAATAAAAAAAAATTGAGAGTGTGAGCGCATAGCGAACACCAAGCGGGTGACTCTCAAACTGTGGACTCGTTTGTCATGCTTTATTTTTGTATGCAAATTGTTTTCACTTGGCTTTTGTTTTGCTTTAGTTGCGCCGCTGGCCGCGCGCTGTTTTTCTCTATCATCATCATCAACAAAAACAACAGCATTATCCCATCTTCGTCATCATCTATGTTTGTATTCTTTTGTCTCCGTCTCTATTTATTTTGTTTTCTATCTCTGCTGTTTGGCCTTCGCCCATGTGTCACGGTTTCGCAAGCATTGGCTTTGAATAGTTCCCCACCAAAGCAAACATTCTCTATTGCTGTGGTTGCTGTTGTTGTTGTTTGTTAATCATTAATCGTTTGCTGTTACTATTTTCGGATTTGAGCTTACACTTAATGCATATGAATTAATCGGATTTATTTAAGAAATAATGATAATTGAAAATAATGCATGTACTTCTTAGGTCTTATAATTTGCGGCCTTGCGCATATTGAAACGTTTGCTGTCAGTAGCAGCTAAAAAATAGGCTTGGAATAATTGAATTTTATGAATTATATGACCTGAATTTAATAATAATAGATGACATGTATTTCAACTCTAAATCAATGATAACTATTTGAATTTGAATTCAATACCGTTTTGAAAATATTTATTCTTTTCCATTCAAAATTCAACGCAATGCTGAAACTCTATAAATAAATATGAATGTAATTATGAGTGGCAAATGTAATTTGTTACACTGTAACATAGGCCCATGAAGCCCAAGCTCAGCAGCAACAAGAACTGTGCACCTTAATGAGCATGACAATAAATAGCGACTGCAACAGCTTTCGTTTTGTAGCACTGGAGCCCAAGATGCGGTCACATTAAAGTTATGCCGGCCGGCAGTTAACTGATTAAAGAGAGAGAGGGGATAGGAAGAGGGCCAAGCAGGGCAGAGCAAGGCAGCAAAAGCCACATCAGAACCAGAATCCAAATGCTTAGTCATCGAACTTGGCCTAATGCAAAACCGAAAAACAACAGGCAGCGAATGGCTACCGTGATTCCACAGCCATAGGATGACTCAGCCCTGGCAAAATGTGCTACCAGTTTAGCACACAACAACAACAACAAGAACAACAACAGGAATAATGCCTTGTAGCTGGGCAACATCATCTTTGCAGCTGGTCGGTCGTCTCTTCGTCGCATCTGCTTCACTGTCCTACTCCACTTCTTGTGCCGGCCGCCAAAAGCAGTACTGAGATTTGTAGTACGCTTATGGTTGTGTTTATGCTCCGTCATGCTTTGGCGCAACGCCCTCAACTGGCAATGCCCTCGAGATACACATGTATCTTATGGATACTACACACACACACACACACATAGACAGATACACACACACACACACACACACACACTTAAATACACACATTCCATTGCCCCTACATACGTTTTTCGCATACGTGTTGTGGTGTACGCTCTCAATTAGTTATTCACATAACGTGCTAAAAAAAAAAAGAATCTGCCTCATGCCGCAACTGCGTCGCGTCGCGTCGCGTCGCCGTCATTGTTGATTAAGGCCCGCATCCATTGGCTACTTACACCTTCTGTCTGGGTTTCGGTGCGAGGGGGGTGGGCGGGTTCATCCTTTGGCTATATATTGTTTACTGTCTGCTGCTTTGACAAAACTTTGCATGTCATGTTGTCATTATGGTTCCTTACCTACCCCCCATATGTGAGCCTTTGCCATTCATTCTGTGCATACTTTTTTCGATGTCGATGCCGATGCCGGTGTCTGAGTGTCAGTCCCCCTGTGCCTGTGCCTATGCCTGTGCCTGTGGCTTAGCCCCAGCTTGTTCTCGAGCCCTGACATTGTTTGTCTACTACTTTGGCCGCCTCGTCTGTGCATCGGCATAGGCATTATACGTAAGCACTTATCATCGTATTAGGCTTCACGCCTTTTGTCTCAGCTCTTAGCTTTAAATGCCGCACTGTTTGCTTAGCCCATCTGTCAGCTATGACAAAATACACGTTCTTCTCGCACACATTGTCTGTGGTTGTCAAATCTGCCTTTCTACCAGTTCTTAAGCGAATCGCATTTTAATGCTGCCTGATTGCATGAATTAGTAGTTTAAATGCCTAAATGTCTATAATTAATTATTTAGCTAGTTTTCATTATTATTATTTTCTACTTATCTCCAATTCGAATAATAATACAAGTGAAATTGCTAACATCGAATGACTGTTGAACTGTAACAGCGCTTGTCATCAAACAGCTGACAGACAAATAAAGATGCTCCAATGAGTGAAGACGTCTTGAATTTGGTTTTGAGTTTCGATGAAATGAATGCTTCTATTCTAGTTGTGCATATTTCTGTGTATCTCTTATGAATCTGGCTGCCATGTTTAGGCATTCAACGACGTTCTCTAAGCCAAAATCGAAAACTGGTCGCGGTCTGTTGCTGGGGCCGGGACGGGCCGGGCCGACACAGACAGACAGACGGACAGACAGACGGACAGACAGTGGGTCGTATGAGTGATGCCTTTACCGTGTCTAAAAATGAGCTAAATGCGAACAAAAAAGAGAGGAGAGAATTCTCGAGGTCAGCCACTTCTGTTGCGCTTGCCCGCTTTGCGGCCCCCTGAGCCATTCAGCTACCTGTTGTTGTTGGCGGTTCTATTCTCAGGCACTCTTGACCAACATAAACTCGCATAATTATACACAGCACAGTAGAACGGGTATGAGAACTTTGTTAAGACATATGTTATACATAGCAACAGAAGATGCAATAGCTTGTCACAACTAGCTGTCGATGTACTTTAAATATTTTCAACTGTTATTCAACACAATAAAAGGGAAAGAAATTATTGTGGCACTTTAGCCACTTTATAGTATATATTTCAGTAGAAAAAAATTACTATCATTAATGATGTGGTTTTGTAGCTGCGGTAATCAATTTCACAGATATCGAGCAGCTTACATTTCATTTAATTCAGGCAGCAGATGCTTTGACAACCTGGACAGCTAATTCTCCAAGTATATACAACACTTCGGTTATCTAAGCGTTAGTTTTCATTTCGATTCTGTGCTGGCTGCGCAGTCCGGTTTTGCAAACGTTGCATTTGCTGTTGTTGCTGTTGTAGCTGTTGTAGCAGTTGCCACTGCTCTCGTGTGTGGTTCCTACTTAATTTACTTTACTGTTATGTTTTGGCGTTCCGCTTGTTAAGCAAGCAGCAGCCAGCTAGCAACAGCAGCAAGCAGCAGCAGCAGCAGCAACAACAACGCCAATTGATGTATGTATCTGTCAGTTACTTTTGCTGATTCTGTGTGCAGCTTTGGTTGCAGGCAGCAGCAGCAGCACTGCGACATCGTCCACACTTCATATTTTCTGGGTGTGTTGAGGCGTGGGCCAAACAATTTCATAACTGATCCGTCATGCCAACCAACAAAATAAGTATAAACTTTAATCTTATATAAATGCCAAAGGTTAATGCCAACAAATTTGTACACAACCACTTTATAGTCGTTTTTTTTTCTTCTGTTTCGATTTTTGCGTTTTGTTATTATTATTATTGAACATATTTTTGTGTCGGTCAAGTTTTGTTTTCTGATTATGCAATCGATTTATTTATGTGTTGTGTTTTTTTTTTCGATTTTCTATTACGTATACGACATGTGTTTTTATGTTCCGCTCTTGTCTTAGACTTGCCTTCCGCTTGTCTCAATTTCTGTTATTGTTTGCATTTATAATTATCAACGCCATAAAAAATTAATACCCACCAACCAACTTGAAATCAATAACGATTTTTGTTGCGTGTTGATTTTATAACTTTGATTTTTATTGGTGCATCATATTTTACACCTCTTCTACCTAATGAAATGACGAATGGACTAAGCTAACAAAGAGGTTTCTTTATTGAACATAGCTATCAACTTTAGAAGCATGGCACAGATTGAATTTTATCGGGTTTTATTAATCGGATGACCTTAGGCCATAGGCCTAGCGACTAGGCATGACCCAATTATGGGTAAACCCCTTAAAATGGGCAATAAAATATTGCGCAATCAGTCAATATGGAGACAGGGAAGGCATGAAAATTGTTTGATAAGCCCTACACATTTTCATTAGGTAATCACTGAAATTGGTTCAAGCTTATTAATATCGACAAAATCGAACTTTTTCCAATGACATTATTTGATTTCAAACTATAACTGTCTGCAGAATAAGGTTTATTAAAAATTGTAACAGCAGTTTTTAACTTTTATTTAAAAGTTTTCTAATTCATTTCAAACATAAATTAATCGATTTATAATAATACATTATTGTATACCATTATTATATAGCCGTTTATTAAAATGTCTTTTATTTTTTATTTCCAGAAATATAACCTTTGACAATAATATCATTAGGATATATCGGTGAGTAACATCTACGAGATATCTGCTCACTCAAGCTAATACATTCGTTGCGAATATTACAAAACAACTCAATTATGTTAGCCAAGAAATAAAAGGAAGAAGAAAAAATTAAGCAAAAAACAGAAGCAAACTTGTCGTTGCATAAGCTCCAACAACAAATTAATTAATATTTGCCGTACCTCTTTTTTTGTGTTTACTTACAAAAAAAATCTATATAGCTCATATAAAAAGTAGTCGACGACTTCCGTTACCAAAGTGCAGCCAACACTTGAGGCACAAGGTGTCTTAGACTAACTTTGAGAGTTGAGCTTGCGTGTGAGCCACAAAAAATAATATATAAATATCTGGGGACAATTTCCGTTTGATAAAACAGTAAACTTTTTAATTGCTACAATCGTTACGGCTAAAAACACCAGACAGCAACGAAAACAAAAATTGTTCTTGCATGAAAAATTATGGCCACAATTATAAACCAACAGCAAACTGTCATAAATAACCAATAACAAGCTGTCATAAATGATTATGTGCAACTGTAGGTTCTAAAAATGAGTGCTAGGGCTGAGTGCAGGGTATCTGTTGACCGGGCAATTATGACAATAACACACTGGTTTTTGCTAACCCTTTTTTTTTTTTTTTAAATAGAATGTACAAGCATTTAATTTATATTCTATTATCGAATAAAGGCCTCAAAGCATTGCCCACATGGCTCCGCTTTTAGCCTAATTGGAATTGACGATCGAGCAAATGGTCGTCAGCAATTAGCGTAACGCCTGGACGCACCCATATTGAATGCGGCCCAGACCAGATCGCACCGGACCCGGGTCCAACATAAAATCATAGCCCCAAACAAAGAGCATTTTATGCTGCTGCTGCTGCTGTTGCTGCTGCTGTTGCTGCTAGTGTTGCTGCTGGTTTTGTTGTTGGTTGTTGTTGGTTATTGTTGGTTCTATGAACGCCAGCGAAGCGCATTAAAAAGTTAAGTTTAGTTAGCGCATCTGTGTTGCACATGTGCGCTGCATGAGCATCCAGAGCGAGCCAGATTGGGCCTGGAATGTGGCAAGGGGGCAGCTAACGATTCCATACGGCTGCTCACTTTAATGATATTTTTTTTCTCTTCTTTTCACTGGTCATAGAGATGGGGTATAATAATGTTGTGCAAATGTATGTTACAGACGGATACAAGCTGACATACATACCAACATTCAAATCGATCTCAATGAATTTATTAACAAAAGTTATTAAATTTGAAATATAAGTATATAATTCTTAAGATCGTTTAAGAAACACCAAAGTTGTCAAAGGGAACTGTATTCAAAGTAGTGACTATATATCAACTTATATACCTAACAGACACAGGGCATCTCTTCGTCGAGTTCTATTCATAGTTTTTCGTTTTTGGTAGGCTGGCAACATTTGTTGACTATTTGTAACCCGGAGGTACATAAATATATTTATCTGTTGCTTCACGTATGTCAGCCACATACAAACGGCGACATTAACCTCAAAACCTTAACATATAACAGCCAAGAAGGAAAAGAATATAAAAAACTATATAAAAGCAGCCTACGCATGCGTCGATTTGTTTTTGTTTTTGTTTTGGTTTTTTTTTTTGCCGGGCATTGTTGCACTGCAAAAACTTATGGGGCAAACAAAGAGCAGAAAACAAGCTTATGTCGAAGCTTGAATGCGCTTTGCAGATTGATTTTGTATCAAAGAAATGTTTTCGCTTCGCGTAGACAATGGGCAAACATGATTTGTGTCAAATCTTTCAGAAATTGACGAGCTATTGTGGGCAATAGTTTGAATATCGATATGATTGAAATGTCTTGTAGTAGTGTGTCCAATCTTTGAAGGCTCTTATTAACGACAACAATTAGAATCTAAAGAGTAAGCTGCAAGGTTTCATTTAAGCTAACAAAAAAAAAAGAACACAAAAAAGAAGAGAAATTACAATTCCAACAAACTATGTATGTCTGTAGTTTGTGTGAAAAAATCACTGCGGTAAAATAGTCTAGCAATAAATAAAAGGAAAATTAAAGGGATAATTTGTATTTATATTGAGCAAAATACTCCAGCAATAAATCAAAAGAAACTGCTAGGGAGAATGTATATTTATATAAAAAGTATGAAAGGGACTAGTTTGCTAAAGTGAATACATTTTTCCAAATTTAATTTTAATTGCAAAGTAATTGTTATTGAAAATTCCTTCTAACCAAGAGTTTAGTTCCGATAGGACTCTGTTCTAACTGTCTTAGACGTGAAATATGTTAAACATATCTTGCCAAGAAGAGTGCTGGAATCGAGCAAGCCAAAAAGACCAACTTGATTTGTTCTGAGCCTTATGTTCATTATGCAGGGCAGGGGCGTGGCTGGCCGCAACCGTTGGGCGTGTTTGCTTTTGATTTTCGTGTGGTGGGTGTGTATGAATTTAAATTTTTAACATGTAACTCATTTTTAATGCAAATAATATAATTTGCTGTGTGTGTATCTACCCAGTTCCAGCGTACATGCGCCAGTATGTGGCTGCCACGTTGAGGAATTATAGCAGGCACGCGAAATGGGTCAGGCCCCTGGCGACTGCTGTTGAGCCTTGGAACTGACTACTCGCCAAATGAGACCGAGTTCGAGGCTGAAAAGTGAGCGTGGCCAGCAATGGATTAATTAAATAGCAAAGAACTGTTAGTGTGTATCTGCTGCTGATGTAGCTGTTGTTATTTAATTAATGAAGAGATCTTGGCAGCTTGGCTATTGGGTATTTGCCAATCCAGTGGGGCGTTGTTGATGGATCTTGAGCTCTGTTGTCTGCTGCTGGACCAAAATTAATTTTTTTTTTTTGCTTACGAACAGATGCAAGCAATTTGCAGTTGCAACAGTTGGCGCAACATGAAAATATCTTACACAGACAATGAGCTACGAAATTGAAAACAAATTGCACGAGTTGTTTGATTTGTGCAGCATAGAATGCAAATGTTTGCAGTTTACAGATACGGAGCTTCGCTGGCTTTTTGATTTTTTTCTTCCTTTTTTGCTGCTGATTTGGCAAATTTGCAACTGCCTCTCTCTGTCTCTCTCTCTCTGCCTTGAACACTGCCCATTGCCTGGCAGATACAGATACACACATAGTTAGAGATACATTGCGATAGATTGACAAGCATGTCGCACAAAAAGTTACAAATTGCAGCGGCCACGAAGAATGGGCCAGTGATAAGTCAATAACTGTGATTAAACAACAACATTCAACTAGCTGTGGCCAAAATGTTATGCAGTCCCACCGACAATCAAACCAACGCAATCAACGTTGATTTGTATCTTTTCTTTGTGCTGTTATATGTGCATCTATATGTATATCTATATATGTAGTATCTCTATATCTATAGAGATATACAGCCAGTTTGCGAAAGTGCACAGCGGTCTTATCGATGTTGAATTGGAAATTGAAATTGAAATGTTAATGAACTGAAAATTTTGCGTGTCGAATAGTTGAAGACATGCTGCCACCAGCTTCATGATAATTGCCCGATACAAAGTTACAGATACGATAATATTGAAAGAAAGGAAAAAATAGTAAGCTACAAAATACCACAGAAATGCTCAAATACCAAGATTGCAGATTGTTTGTTTGTGCGCCTTTTGGATTCGAAAGGCAACACCAACAATTACAATAACAGTAACAACAACACTAACAACAACAACAATAGATACAATTTCAATTATAATAAATGTCCGCCATCATTTCACACTTCACTTTCCTTTTGTGCTGTACTTTAATTAGTGCAACCGAAAATGACGTGGCACAAAAATAAAATTCCCAAAATTGCTATCAGCAAATATATAAATAAATTTAAATAATTTAATCACGAAATGTGCTGCAAATGTTTTCAAATTGAATGCGAACATATTGAGTTATTGTGTTGATTGTTGTTGCGCCAAAAATAGTTTTCACGATTAAAGCTATTTTTTTTATCGCCATTTTATTTTCATTCCATTGCGTTTTGCACGTTTAGCAAATGCACTTGAAATATTTCTATGTTGTTTCGGTTTGTTTTCAGTGTGGGTGAAGGCTGCAAATACGAATGGAAAATTCACTTGCAGTTTGTATTTCCAGTTTACCATAATGCTGATCATGATAATCGTGGCTTCTATAATGATTTACGAGTATATTCAACATTTTAGCATTTTTTCTTGATGAAATCTCATTTTGGGCAGAAATTGTTGAATTTGCAGCCAGTATTCAAACTTGAGTTAAGACAAACCAATACAAAACTTAATCAATATTTGACTGTCAGCAAGCGAACCATTTAGGTGTGAAATTGGCCAATTGTTTTAACAAGCAAACTAATTAAAAGCGTTAAATGAGCAAACAACAAATTATGTTTAATGTCGCTTAAAAGTGAAATCTAGGCCAAAGCAAGTTCTGGTGTCGATCTATCGAAAAACAATAAACCATTTGTCATTTAATGGCCAAATAACACATATTATCGAGTAGGCAGAAAATAGCAATGCTTAATTGGAAATCACTTTCCCTCCTGGTCTCAATCTAATCAAATCGTTCGAGCTTTAAATTTGAAATGCTGCAGATTCGATCAACACGTAGTCGACAACATAGCCAACATGGCCATTATCGTTTCCTGACCACTCGCGGTGGAAACCTCTTGATTATGACACAACTTTGACAACTGGCAGCTGCCATCGAACGTAATGCAAACACACAAGTGAAAACGGGGCCAATCGGGGGTAACGTGGTAACTGAATCTTATGTATGTATGCATGTATGTATGTACATATGGTTACATTTCGTGCTGCCAAATAAATGAAATTCATTCATGCGCATTGCATGACGATCGCGTCTAACATTTGCCTCATACCACATATCACATGAAGCACACAGCCCACGAATTGAAATGGACATGGACTCATTGACTGACTGAATGCCTGCTTGCCTGGCTAACTGCCTGACTGCCTGACTGCCTGTCAACTGTGTGACTTTCATCATCATCTCTGGCTGATAGATGCACATCAACAGGCGCGACGGCGACACTTTCAATTGCACACCTTCTCGGACTTGGACTCGGACGTGGACTCGGTCTCGGTCGCACTTTCTCGTTGCTTGGGGGCTTTGGTCAAGCTCGAGCTGCGCTTTGATATATTATTTTTTATTTTTTTTTTTTACTTTATGGCTTCTTTTGGCGTTACAATTTGAATGTCATTAGTGTCAGCGGCCGCTGGCTAACGGAGCTTCGAGCTGTAATAGACCTCAGCGAAGAGTAATCGCCACCCAAAGACAACGCCTGCCGCACATTCTTTTTGTATACCCTGTCAGAGCTGTGGGTAGCATGGCTATGTGATATCTAATGACGCGTGCGTCTTTATCTTTATCTTTATTCTCTAGCTCTTATAGACTGTCAGATTGAAACGGTTAGTCAACGAAGATGTCTTCGTTAGCCACATACAGCTTACATACTTTTCCACAATTGTATAATAACTTATTTACCCACTTTGAGTGGAAAGAGTGTACAAAAACAGAGTTTGGTAAATAACAACAGCAACAGCAACAACTGCACTTTTATTTTTGTCCCCTTCCAGTTTGTTCCACTTTTGCTTTGTTACCGAATCACGAAAGTGTCATCAGTGGCATGTTAATTTACTCGACCATTAACGCCGTTTCGGCTCTTATCTAAGAGAGAGCAGCCAAGCTACAACTGTTATAATTCGTATTATGGTCGCTTTGAATGTAGTTAGTTTCCTAGGGGTCTAACAAGCCATAACCATTGTTCTCGGTGTCGAGTCTCGGGTCTCGGGTCTCTCGGCGCCAATGAATATCGTCATAATCTTGCCATACTTATGGTAATGCCACTTTACATTTTGATTTCACTTGCCAGATAAGCTAATACGCTCCTTGCTCTTTAGATCGAAATCATCAGATAAATATTTAATTAGGCTGTTATTTCGCTAAAGCAGAACGTTGTGTTGTTTCATGATTGTTGTTTTCTGTTAGACAGTCGGCGCCCGAAGGGTTAACAACACTCCAAAGCACCACAATGGAGTCTTATTTGCGTTCGGCATTAGCTCAAAACAATAATTAAGACTGCTCCAGTTGAGAGTTCTCGTTACTAATTTCGTTTCTCCGCTCGAACAGATGATTTCGATTATTTTGCTTGTTGCATATTAAACTATTCATAATGCAACCCCTTAAAGCCCTTTTCTTTTTGCAGCTTAGTGCGGTGATTTGCGCATTTCTTTGATGTCGTCGCCATTAGCTCTGCTGCCAGCTGTTAATGCTGTTAATTAGCTCAAGGAAAACACAATTGCCGGGCATTTACTGACTAGTCTAAGAATTTTTCCAACCTGTCGCCAGGTTTTCTTTTTTCCTTTAGATCAATTAATTCAGCGCCTGGCTGTGGCATCTTCGGGGCACATCTTGATACAATTTGTAGCTAAATGTCGGCATGCCGCTTTAAACTATCTAGTTGATTTTATACTCTGTACCCCAAGTTAATTTGAGTTTATTGGTTTGCAAGCAATGATAGTGGAAAGACAGTGTGGTATTCTATTTCTATAATTTTTTTAATAATTAATTATTATCTTCTTCACAAGTGACAACAGAGTAGCGCGCAGCCGGCTTAGTCCGATTACAACTTTCCCACTTATTAGTCATTAGTCTTAGCCATAGTGAGTGCAGACGGATCTAATTGTTATGTCTCATGTTGCCGCTAAAGATCATAGCTTGAGGGTTTGGTTTTTTGTTTTGGCGCCTTTAACTTTGACATTGATCTGTGCTTGTGGCCTGCCTGCAATTTAATGTTTTTATCATTCTGTGCGACTTGTAATTAATAACTATGGCTAATAGTCCTCGTGCCACACACTCGGCTATGTCTTTGGAAAGTTGCCGCGTGTCTTATATGAAAATGCAGCTTAACTTTTTTTTTTCTTTTTTTTTGTTAATTTGAAATTATAATAATTTGCCGAGTCGGTTGGTTGGTCGCCAAGTCGATTGGCTGCTTGGTTAGTTGGCCATTACTTTTAAGTAGCTGTAGTAGTTGCAGTAAGTAGTTTGTTTGCCATCTACTGTTGCTCAGTCAGCTCGATAACTCTGGCAATTGCGTTTACAGTTCCCCCCGCTAGTTTTCGTTTGAAAGTTGTGCTTTAATTGTTGTTTGGCTTTTAGTTGCAGTTATCTTTACACATCTACAGCTGCATTTTATATGCAAATTATCTATCATTCACCAGCATTCGCAGTGTTGAACACACTCTGCATATGCTCATGCACTGTCCATGTTGATTAGCATGCGTCTTCTGTCTCGTGCCTCGAGCCTCGAGACTCGTGCCACATGACTCGCTCATCTCTTACATATGAGTCTATCGTAGTGGCTCTTTTTGCCTGTCCTGCATCGTCCGCTTAGGTGTGGAGTGTTGAAAAGCGTTGGCATCTATGCTGATAACATTGGACATGAGCATGTGGCATCCCAGCCAGGCAGTTAAGCTGACAGACAGAGGATTGAAATAATGAGAAGTGTGATTCTCATCGTCCGACCAACATAGTGCCATAAAAAACTTGTTTTTTCCAGGAATACCATGCAAAACTTGACAATCTTAATAGATCAGCACCAATGATAGCTAAACAGATAAACAAACGGATTTATTTCTTATTGGGTATATCAAAGATCTTGAAAACTATATACGAAATGGTTGAAGAGACTGCCAGAGCTGTTATGAAATATGTGACAATCTTTGCATTGCTTGCTCAGCAAATCAAAAAGTTGTCTTGTTAGATAAGTATCATACAAATATGAAATATGTCTCAAATTAAATAAGAAATCGTTACAAAAAATCATGATATTAACTGAATTCTTGTAAATAAATAATAAACAAATATTTTGAATATATTTAAGTATAATCACATCTCAGCGTACTTTTCTATATGACATCAAATCAATGTGCAATGAAAGTAGCACATTGCTTACATTGAACAGAAGCTACGCTAAAACGTGCTCAAATTTAAACAATTTGTACATTTTCCAATGAGATAGTGGTTTTGAAAACAAGCACGAAAAGCCCTCACTCCCTCCTGATTAGTTTTGAGAGATCTAAACTGTCGTCTTCACGCCCTCAACCTTTTAACCTTTTAAGCTCCAACGCTGCCATACCAAAAGTCAACTTTATAAAGGCCAAGCACGCTTTGAAACTCTAACATAAAGATAGAGGGAGGGAGAGAGAGAGAGAGAGAGAGAGAGGAAAAAGGTTATTAATAAACAAGCTCGATTGCAAGCGGCGGTCGCTATGAACTAAGAAAATAATGCTTGATAATTATTAATTAGTAGGAGGGCATAAGAAGCGTAGCAAAACGATCAAAAAATACCGGGTCACATACCCAATGCAGAGAGACAAAAGACAAAAGACAACGACTACAAAACAAAAGTGTAGGCCGGCAAAAATGATGTGGATGTGGATGTGGATGGGAGTGGGAGGGGTTAGGGGCTAGGGGGGATGTGTATGTGGATGATGACTGTGGCAGATGTTTATAAGATTGACCCGCATACCAGTGTGGGGGCCAGTTTTTCAGTTCGTCAGCCAGTCAGCCAGTCAGTCAGAGACAGTTGCACAATTAGATAAAGCATCTTATGACTGCACTGTGATGAATGTTAATTGAACTGCACATTGTACTTTGAAGCATTGTTCTGGCTACTGTCTGACAGCTGGAGAGTTTTTCCTAAGCATCCTTGACGGATGCTGGTTGCATTCCCCAGCTTATGTGGCCAACATTCGTAGCGGCATCACCTGCTGCCCACATTGTTGGTTAGCTGTTAACCGTTAACGCCACTTTAAATTATTAAGCATTCCATGACATTAATATGCAATTTTTTTTTAGCAATTTACATGGAAATTTATGTTTTGTATTTTGTTTGTTGCAGCTAATGAAACTTGACACCTCCGGCAACAACTAATCGAATTTGATGGCCCTGCTTGGTGCGTGGGTGGCAATAAATTAGAGATCTAAAATATCTTTTATTGATATCGACCATGATGATTTTGGTGTTGTGACGATGATGATGATGATGATGTTGTTGACCGATAGACCAGCACAAAAACGACAGCAAGCTGCCATGTGAGACGAGAGACGAGCGACTAGAGACATTGTGTCAGTCAAACACTATACATATGCATATCGATTCTTAGACAGAGAGAGAGAGAGAGAGTGAGAGATAGAGATAGAGAGCAATAACAGACAGTGCACTGAGCAAATATCGAGAGACAAGCGAAGCGTAGCATAAACAGCGCCATGGAGACCGAGTCCATGGAGCAGGATGTTATGCTGGACGGCAACGAAGATCTGATGTCGACATCAAATACATCCACAAATGGCGGTGCCTACGACACAAATGGATGCGCCAAGAAAACGGTAAGTGATCGACCCATAAACACTTTGACCATCACAAGGATGGAGCCAGTACAAAAGCCAAGCCACAGACACAATCTAAACTTTTGATTTTAGACGAGACAACTCTTGTGACTTTTATGACCCGTTCTTAATTCTCTTCCATACGAACTCTTAGAGCCAGTAATATTTTGTTATCATGTTTAGTCAATGCAAGCTACAAATTCTTAATTCTCTTGCACTGAATACTCAGCATGAGTGAATAATACTTTGTTATCTGGCTTATGCATCTATATTATACCACGCTCTGAGTTCGCTTGATCCAACATTAAAGTTAGTGCTACATAATATATATTTCATTATATTCCATTCTTTTCCTCAGAGAAGCATTTTGAATAAAAAAATGTTCAAAGCTAATTAAAAGCTTACATCAACTCATACTCGTATTCAAATTCGATATGAATGACAACTCAAAACCAATAAAAATTATTCATTTCTATAAATATATAATGATATACAAATGCAAGTGTATTGACGTCTCGGTGTAGTGCGAATTAATAATTTGTTTGCTATTTTGCTTTTCAAACACTCAAGCAGTCATTTAGTCATTCGCAGTCATTCCGTCAGTCCGTCATTCCGTCACTTATTGTTAGCGGTGTATTGTTAAATGCATTTTTGCTTTCTTGGCTTTTTGGACTAGACGCGCTCGCTTTTGCTTTCAACCGAAACCGTCAACTGTCGACAACACCTAAGAGGTTTCCGCGCTGCTTAGGCATATTTCAAGTGCTTTGACCCACCCACCAGACCAGACCAGACAAGACCAGACCAGACCATTACAAACCATGGCACCAGTCCATGGCACAAATACACAGACACATGCATATCCACATATCCACATGTGGAAAATGTACAAAAGGGTATACATATTAAAAGTGGAGACCCAATGCGATTGCCTCATGGGCACTTCCGTCAACAAAAGCGGGGCAATAACTATGACCAAACCATAAGACGATGGCCTCACTTGACTGCCACAGAAAGCGAGCTTGCAACAAGAAGGTGGCCAATTGCATTGTGCACAATGCGGTCTTAGAATGGGTTACCATACACCGTTCTGTGGAAAAACGTTTTAAACTGCAAGCAAACGTATTCGTTATGGTTCTTGTTGCCTGTGCTTTTCCAGCTAATTTTATAGACCGTCGTCTTTATTAGCTTCTACCTCATATAAGATTTACCAGCATGCTGACTTTACGTTCAGTTGTACAAGTGTGAAATAAAACGTTTATTGAAATTGTTTCAAAGTAATAGTAAACAAATATTTTGCAATTGTTATTTTTTGCTGTAAATAATCCGCAGACAAGCTCCTAACTTGAAGGTCGTCCCTTAAGCATCTTTGCATTCAACAATCTTACTCCATATGGGTCCTGCCAATAAATTATAAATATTAAAGCCCGTTCAAGGTGACTGGCTGCCTTGTCAGCTTAAATTCATAAATAAGTAAATAATTCATTGGGCTTACAAATCAGTCCCTCTGCCCACACAGTAGCAATCAAGCAATCGGCAGTTAAACTTAACAAGAGTGAAAAAACAACTCCGGACTCGGACTCGGACTCGGACTCTTGGACCAGTGACATTTGCATGCTGCTTGGTAGCAGTTGAACTCGCAGCGCAGCGCATTGAAACAATTTATGCTAATTACGCCACTTATTGCATTATTAATATGACGATTAATTGCAGACCATAACATCGCCCGATCGGACATCGTATGTGGCAAAGGCGCGTGTTACGCGTCCCACGCCCCCGCCACCCTCAAAGAATCCCATGCAATTTGTGCAGAGTAAGCCATGCAATTTATATCAGACGGCACAGCAACAGCTCAAAAAGGCCGAGGAGGTCAAAAAGCTGAAGGAGGTGCAGAAAGAGGAGCCCGAGGAGTGGCAGAATGTGAGTACATGCCTCAAATGATTACTTATTATTATTTTAGATAGTTGTATGCTTTAATTCAACGTTATCGTTAACTTTTAATAATATTTTATCAAAGATAAAATCAGTGTTTAAAGCAATTTACCTGCAGCTTGAAGATTACCTCAATTATGCATATACAAGAACAACATTTTTGAGTGATTGCCTATGCTGATAGTTATTTTGCCAAATCCATTTAATTAAAATTCCAAAAATGATGTTGATCTTTCATGCTGATCACAAACAAAGCTATGACTAATGTCAAATGATATTGCTGACTTTTCTACTATATAATCAACAGACGTTACATCTGAGGCAAAAGTAACTCTATATGCTTGAAGTTTTCAAACAAAATCGTGACAAATTTCTAAATCGCTATTTTTTTTTGTTGCTGTGTCGCATATGTCTCAAGATAAACGACGCACATCGCTTGGGCAGGGCATTTGGCTCGTTAAGGCCATATCTGTAGTACTAACTAGCATTGACTCTGGCTATGGCTATGGCTCTGGCTCTGGCTCTGGTAATATGTCTTTGTGAGTGGAGCAGGCGTGCTCCAGTTTCCAATGCACGTCGCTGCAGCGGACAAATGATATTGCATAATCAGCTGTTACTTGTTGTTTGCTTTCTTGTTAACTTTCTGGTGCGCTGATATTTATGGTGTTTTTTTTTTGTGTTTTTTTCATTTTACACAATTCGCGTTGCATTTAAATTTTGGTTGCCATAACCTCAAAGTGTCGCCCTTTGACGTGACTGTACCTCACATTACCTAATCAGCTGTTGCATGTTTGCATATGTGCAACATTGCATTTGAATTGATTGCACACATTACAGTGATCATTACTGTGTTTGTTATTTGGGCCATTAGTTTTGGCAAACGTCGACATCGATTTGTCACTTATGCAAACCGAATATCTTCCCACACATAACTTTTTTTTATGTATGTATGCGAAAATCTATTAAAATGCGCCAAGCGTAGTTCAGTACGGTCAAAACTGAGTTTTGGGCCTGGGACTGGCGCCAAATGATGGGAAAGGAAGTTGAAAACACTGTTTTAATGGCCATTTGCTGAGCGACAATATTCAGCGACTGTTTGTTGTTAACTGGATTTATGTCGGAAATCTTTAAAACTCTTGAAAGCTGTTTTTTTTTTTTTTTTTTGCAAAGTTATAGTTGCAACTTAAGCGAACTATTTTATGAATTTTAAATTTATTAAAAGTAAAGATTAAATTCATTGACCTTTGAATGTGTAGCAAGAGCTTAAAGGAAAATATAAATAGAATGTGATTTTGTTTATTGCGTGTTAATGCTAGAATAGATTATAATTATCAACTGAGCTTGCAGAATTAATTAAAATCCACGACGGAAATATAGCCGGAAGCGCCATATCAACTTAATGCCAAAGAATGTGAGACCAATCAGAACCACCTGAGTATTATTAATCAGTCAAAATTTGCAAGTATTGTCCAAGCGCCGCATAACTGAAAGTATACCTCCGGTATCTCAGAAAGTACAATCACAACAAAAGTAAAAATACAAAATAAAAGTTTACGCCGTAGCACTTTCCACCTCTGTCACGTCTCTATCTCTCTCTCTCTCTCTCGACCGGGAAAAGTAAACAAAGCAAAACTTTTTAATTGCCAGAGCAAAGAGTGCATGCATATTACCTTAAAAGTACCACATATATATATATGTATATAGTATAGTATAGTATAGTAGAGTATAATGTGCTTTGTATATTGTATGCTAACTTTCGCTTCTTTTCCACAAAATGAAATGCCATACAAAAAGAACCTTGACAATTGGAAATCATCTCGGCGAAAACGTGTCGAACATATCATCGACCGTGCGGTCGAAACGAAGAAACTCGAACTTGAGGAACATGATCGCATGCGACGAAAATCGAAAACATTTACCGAAATGATGGAGGAGCGGTAAGTACTACCCAACCCCCGTTCATAAACAAAATCATTAAGTTCTCAATTGAACCATTGCAGGGCCGAACGTGGACCGCGTGGACGTGTTAAGCTGGCGAACCTGGCCGTCTACAACGAGGATGAGGCGAATGATTTGAGCGATTTGGGTATCGGCACGAGCAGCGCCAGTGGCAAAAGCAGTTTATCGGAAGATTATGATAACAACAGCGTTATGGTGAGTTCTACAAGCAACTGCATTTATTCGCAAATAATACTTAAGCTAAGTATTTATTTATTTATTTATTTAACGTCAACTAAAGTAAGTCGACACAAAAAAATACAAAAAGTATCAAATTGCATTAAATTATGTTAAAAATAAAATATAAAATTTAACTTAAATTAAAAATTATAAATATTTATTGGGTTAAGCCCAGAAAAAAACCCAATCAGACCAACAAAATAATTAGTATAAATTAGTTAAGCCCCCCACAACTGAATGTGAAGAAGTTATTCACGAGACAAGTCGCTTAAAATTGATTGACTCTGAATTGATTACATGAGTCTATTGTAATCATTACAGAGTACTCGAAACGGTTAATGCAAGGAATAATTAGTAATACAACGATTAAGAGAAAGTGGGATAAAATAACTAGACAGTCTGGAGGGAACAGAAAAATTACTTTAGCTCAGCAACGCAACTGAATCGATTTTATCCATTTAGTAATTAGCTACAAACATCACTCCTAGCATAACACGATGATTAGTTAAGGAGGGAAGCTTAATAAGGAGCAGTCTATCGGTGTATGTAGACAATACACTCTTCTGCACAGATTACAAACTACTTTCCAGAATCGGATTTTGAGGAGACAAAATCCACACACACAAAATCAATATTCCAAAATTTGACTTACAAGAGAAGTAAAAGGTATCTTAGTTGTATTGGGAGAACTAGAAAGGTTTTGTTGACAGTGAATTGAATACGACTCTCGAATTTTAAGTTTCATCCAATCTATCAAGTGCACATAACCAACAATCTGAGGAGAGTTACGATAAAATGTTAATGACAATCAATCAAAACTAGGTTACATTCTGTGATGATATTTAAATTGATCATCACATTTTAGTTATTTATGATTGTTTGCGATTATTAGATTCAAAATCTTATTAGATGAATTAATATAACATATTAGATTATACATTTTTTGTCGATGGATAATAAATATTTGGCGACATATTGGGAGACAAGATCTTAATGATGCTTGCAATGTTTTCCTTTTAACTTCATTGACATATTTTTCGAATTTCGTTTGTTTACAAACAATTGCAACAAATTATCAATTAAATCAAGTTTATAAACATTTGCCGCCGAGCCTTTCAATTGTGGCTCAAGCCGCCGATGTTGGAAAGTGTTGCCAGAGACGCGAGCTAATAAACACAAATTGCTTATTAATCAAATGCGTTCACAATCACAATCACAATCGCACCATAAAAAAAAATAATGAACAATAAACGGCAGAAGAAAAAAAAAAAAATCGTAACAAAAAAATACATTTGAAATTGCCATCTGATTGAGCAATTAGACGCGCTTGTCGCCATCGCATATAAAATACAATCATATATGTCATTTATACATGCACGGGATACAAGTATTTATGTTGGTTCATGGCATCTGGGTTGGGTGTTGGGTACGCGTGGCTGAGACACGCGAAAAGGGGTCTGAAGCTAGGAAAAAAAAAGAAAAGAAAGTTTTAGACATGACGTGACTCTAGAAAAAAGGTAGACGAATAAAAATATAGATGAAATTCCAGTGCGAATCGATAGCATTTTAATAAAATGTTGGGTTTATAATTGCACTCGTAACTATTGGTTGTTGGTTTAGATACCCTAGGAGAAGAACTGTATGATAAGAAATCAAAATCCACAAATAGATAAACTCTTACTTAAATTATAGTTATATATGTTTATTATTATTTATTACAAATTTAAAAATAAACCCAGTATGTAGAGAGTATAGCGGCGACAACTTGGGTCTGTGGCTCATGGAATATAACAATTGCAAAATAAATATAATTAAGATGAAACCGAAACTAGTTGTTCGAATAATAATCGTACTCTCTCGACCATATCCTTCGCAGAGTGACAATGCCGATTTGGACAGGGCCATTGGCAGCGCCGGTGCCGGCAGCATTGAACAGCAACAGAATCACATCAATAGAAACCGTATGGGAAATGGCAGCGCCAACCAGGCGAGCACATCGAATGCCGGCAAGGTGCAGCCGGTCAGTGCCGCCGCAGCAGCCACGCGGGAATACATCTCATCGCCGGGCTATGACACCTCGTCGAGCACGGCGCCGGCCAGCTCACCGGATCCCTGTGAGTACACCTACGAGGGCGCCATACAGGACTACAAGCAGCGTGTGCAGCGTGCCAGCAGCAATGGAAAAATCTCCAACAACAATGCATCGGACAATGGTGAAACTATTGCGTATCCGACACGACGTGGCAGCAAGATCGAGGATCGCCTGAGCGGCTTTGAGGTGACCTCGCCCAGCGACACGCAGGAAGGTGTCGAGAAGCAAAAAGTGGATGTACCCAAAGTGGATATCTCGAAGCGCAAAGAGATCTTCGAGCAGCGAGACAATGAGCCAAAGCCAATGTTGCCCAATGGAGCAGCACCCAAAGTGGTGCTCCGCGACCGTCTCCACAATGGCAATGGAGTCACCACATCTGTCGAGACCGCAGCCAAACAGGAGACGAAGCGTCTATCGGGTGACATCAGCAGCATACGCGATCGCATGCAGAGCCTGGAGCATCAGCGCAATGCGTTCAACTCCAGCAAGAGCGTGGATGTGCCAGTGCCGCCATTGAAGCAGCGCCTCAACAGCCTGCAGTATGCCGTCACCAAAGAGGAGGAACAGCATCAAAAGAAACCGCCGCTGGTCGCGCTCATCGATGCCCGCCAGCTAGAAATTATGCGCGGCGAGGAGCAGCGCATGCGTCAACAGCAGCAGCAACAGCAGCAGCAGCAACTGCAAAAGGAGCAATTGCAGCAACAACAGCCACTGCAGCACAAAGTGACAGCGCCGCCGGCGCTAGTTGTGGATGAGCCACCATCGGTGGCACACGATGACAGCGGCATACAGGCGGACAACAATGAAGAGCTGCTCAAGGATCAGCAGCAACAACAGCAATTGAACGAGGCCATCGCAGCGCTGGCCCTCGAGGAACGTCAGCTGGAGGAGGCCGCCAATGCGGTCAATCAAATCGAAGCCGAGTTTGATGAGCTTACCGATCTGCATCCGGCCGCGTTGCCCGCTGCCAATTCACATGCACCAAAAGCTGTAGCAACAGCAACATCAGCAGCCACCTCAGCAGCAGCAGCAAAAACAACAGCCCCCCAAGCAACAATGACAACAGCACAGCCAGCACCAGCTGCGGCACGGGACATGGAATTTAGTGTAAGTTCTACTAACAATTTTCTCGAATCCGCTATGTTAAGTCCACGTAGTGTCAGTGATGATAATGTTGTAGTAGCTTCAGTTTCCAATGCGGTGTCGGGTCAACCCAAGCAAATTATCTATCCCAATCCCTATACCAACCCAAACCCAAACCCAAATCCAAGCCAAAACAATTGTAACTTGCGTAGAAAGCCCTCCAATGAAATGGTTCATGCGCGCAATTTGCTTAAAATGTTCAAGGACACCTTTCAAAATGACGATGAACTGAGCGAAACCGCCGAACAGACACTCTCAGCTCAATCCCCCCCGCCTGGTCAATTTAGTCAAGTCTTTGACTTTACCAAGAAACCATCGAGCCCAATACCAGCACCGGCACCAGCACCGACTCCCATCCAGAACCCTGAACAAAGTGTGCGTCACGTTCCAAACGCTGCAGCACCACCATCACCACAAACACCACCTTCGACCTCTGTCTCAGTCCCACATACACAAATACCACGACCATTGGGCAAACCGCCCATGTCACCCAAGGCGGTGCGTTCAAAGCCAACAAACACGCCACAACAGTTCAGCATTAATGGACGCGTTGAGATCTTCAATTCACGCCAGCTGGATAAACCGCCAACGCCACCACCCAGACGTGCCTTCAGAGCAGAACCCGAAATGAATTCATTTTCACATGGCCCACAAACACCGATACATGTGCCGGAGGTGGTGATGTGTGCACCACCCGTTACCATTGTCCCAGCCGAAGAGCTGCCCAAACCCAATACGGTCAAGGCATTGTCCAGCTGCTTTGGCGAATCCGCAACAGCAAGGGTTCCGGGTAGTCCAATTGCACATCGTACGCCGACCTCGCCCGGCACTTCAACTACCAGCATGTCACCCACTTTGGGCTACATGCGCGCAACGTGTATATCACCCACACCAACAACAAGTGTGACTTTCTGTCCGACGACTTCGGGTGTTGGTGGACAGACGTCTCCAACTCCATTGCCCAAGCCGTTGGCACGCAGTCGCATACCGCAGATAACGCCACCGGCTTCGCCCAAGCCAAACAGACGCACTGCACCCGCTATTGATGTTGTGGAGCATGCGCTGAGCGATCGCAGCTCGGGTGACTATGCGCCCATCATGGGACAGACACAAGCCGTGGTGCACACGCCACCAGTAGCCAAGGTGCGCGCTAAGCCGCCGCCGTCAAGTACGCTCAGCATTGATCCGCTGGCGCCCAATGACTCACTGCATGTGGAGGTGACTTCGCCCTCGGAGATGCCAGTGCTGCGCATCTGCACGCCCAATGAGTCCAGCCTGTTCAAGCTGGCGGGTTCAGCGCCCACATCGCCCGGCTCGGCGGACCCGGCCGCATTCGAAGTGGCGCTGTGTCAGCAGTTTCTGGAACGTGAGTCGAACAAGCAACAGTTCCAACTGCCGCCTGACGATCTGGAGCGTTTGGAGCTGGGAGCCGTTGAGGAGGTGCTCTGTGATAAACTAGACGTGGTCAAGTTACCCAAGTTGCCCAGCACCGGTTGTCAGACAATAAGTCAGCAGCAGCTAGATAGTTGCGATGGCATAATCAAGGAGCAGCAACCACATTTGACAGCACCCAAGGATGAGGATGTGGCACTGTGCGTTGGCCTGCTCGACTGCCTGGCACCGGCTCAGGAGCCCAGCTGTGAGAGCATCGATGTCCGGCAAAAGCCAGTACCGGCAACGGGTTACCAGGACATAACTGATGCGGATATCAGGCGCTGTGATGGCTGGCAGGGAATCAAGGATTTCAAGAGCGGCAACAAGCCAAGCTCACCCATTGGGGATGCGCGTGCCGCACACTCCAAGGCGCTAATGGACACTTGCGAGCAGATAATTGCCGAGGAACGCTTGGCCAGCAGCCAAATGATGAAGACATCCCTGCCCGACGGAAGTGCCACGAGCAATACGAAATCACCAACAGGCTCTACACCAGGAACGCCGATGGCGAGTCGCAAATCAAAGATACCCATACCCAAGTCCTGTTGCATATCTGCTTCCAATACGGACTCCATTGGGCGGACAGGTTACCTGCCCGTGAGCTCCACCACTGAGCAGCCGCTCATAGCGCGCACTCAGGTGGTGGAGACAGAGATTAACGTTAAGCAGATGACTCCGCCCAGTTCACCAAAGGCAGCAAGGGAGGATGGTCAGGAGAAGAACAAGGCCAAGGAGAAGAAGTCTAAAACGAATATATTTGATTTTTTGCGTCGCAATTTCGGTCACCACGAGGAGTCGCCGGCAATTAAACAAGCCCATCCCACACTCAATGAAACCCTCGAGCCTAAGGTGGTGCTCACCAGCACCCGCAGCGGCGTCGATGTGGTCAATGCGGATGAGTTTGGAAAGGCGGACAGCTCGAAATTCTATTTGGACAATACTGAGGCGGTGCCTCCTCCGCTACCCACAACACCAGCTCCTGTGAACATTGAGATACGTAAAACCATCACCACAGACGAGATCCTCGAGGAGCACAACACGGAACAGGCATTGAGCCAGGAAATAAGCGACCTGCTCGATGATGAGCTTAACAAACTAGAGGCGGCGGGGGCGGCGGGGGCGGCGGTTGGTGCTGGTCGCTGAATAGCACGACAATTTAACTGATTTTGTTTAGGGAATACTTGAAAACTATCTGGGGTCTTAAGGGGCATATAAGATGATTTTTGTTAAATAGCTGCCGAAATTGTCTGAAAGTTATCTCGCTTTGAATATACTCGTCGCAGAACAAAAATGAAATTTGAAATTAATTAATATGAGATTTTGTATTGACATTATAATAATAATAAAAATAAAATACTCTTAAACTGGACAATCTGATCCTGACGACTTCTGAACTTGTCCGAACGGTTTCATCAATTGATACACCCTTTTAAAGTTGTGTAGAAAACGTATCGACTCAAAATCAAAAAACTCGAATTAATTTCCAATGGTTTTCTCGAAACATGATTTATCAATAATTTTCGAATTTTTATTTCTTAACAAATATACTTTTTGTTGTGGGGCTCAAGCTACGTAAGCTACAGTTACTTTTTATTTCATTGTTCTTATTACTAAACCCAATTTTATGTATAAAAAACGAAATTTAATTTACGTAAAGAAAAATGTGAAACATATGTTTTATGGTTATATATTTTATATACTTAGAGTGCTGAAAACTTCTAATACACAAAAAAATTTAAAAAAAAAGCATACCAAAATAACAAACAAAAAAATAATAATGATAATGATAATCATAATGTTGTGCTATTTTATGAATAAATAAAAGAAAAACTAGAAAAGAAACTGCAAATCTACAGAATTATAAAAAGTGCGTAACAGTAAAAATATCAAAAATATTTACATACAGCGCCGTTTTCACAAGTTCTTGGCAAGCTCAACTCTAATACAATCTTAATGGATATCGTTTACTCATGTTCAGGCAACATATTTAATAGGCACTCAACTGACGAGTATAGAGGAAAAGTATGTGCTTACATATATCTAATAATCAATTGATCAAGTCGATTCTCCATTTTATAAAGTGCTTCGAAAATCTCTCTTCGTCAACATAATACTGAGCATGAGAAAACGAAACGCAAACTTGTCCGCTTGGCGCAGTTTTTCTTTCGGTAACTTTGAACTTTGCCAAGCACATTTAAAAACGGCCTTTAAATGACTGCTTGCACTGCTTGCCACACATTTAGCTGACTGCATCGTCAAGCAGTGCACTGCACATTGAGTCTTGTGATTTCAACATTGTGTGGCAAATCCGCTTCAATTTGTTATTCATTTCCCTGGAGGGAATTTTCGATGCACGCGTATGTGCTTAACAGGCGCTTTATGGATTAGCATTCAATAAATAAACACATCATTAATTAAATGAACAAACAAAATGAGTTCGAAATGGGACGTGAGAGGAAGAGGCTTTCTCTGGCATATAAACATTTCCATTGCGCCCCCGGTCCTTGTTGTGTTCTGTCTTTTCCTATCCAGATGATTAGCGTAAGTAAGTCCCCATGGGTTTAAGGTTTAACATTAAAAGCTATTCTGTGTATCATTTACAACATCTGTATATATATAATAATAATTTTGTATCTATAATCTATCGTAATATAATCATATAATATGTATGCATTTCTCTTACATGCCTTGCGCTCGTATTGTTGGCTATTATGTATAAATTATCAAATTTTGGAATATACATGACATGTATATGTATATTAATATTTATGCTACAGTTACATAGTTTACATGCTTACTGCCAGCAAAAGTTGTTGCAAGTTTACAATTTTCGAGGTAAGCGGTTGTGTCTCTATCACACACACACACACACATCTCTTTCACTCTCTCTCTCGCTCTCATATTTATCTATTGTATCTCTGTCTCATTTCGTGGTTCTTTGCATTTGCTTTTGTGTTCAGTTCTGTTCTTGCTCTGTTGTGTTTTGTTTTTGTATTTAGCTTTTAAGTTCCATGCATGTTCCAGCGATTTATACACTGTAAATTCCCATTTAAAATGCCAAAAGTCACAGATGCCGCGACCTCCGCCCTACAGCCCAACCACCATCCCGCCTAGAAGACCCTAGTGAGGTTTCAGTTCAACAGGGCCTACTTCGGGGCGCTACACGACCAAATTGAAAACCTGCCCCTCAACAACAACTACTACGCATTGTTCCATATATGCATATATATACACATTCTCAATTCGTATTATTTGCACCATTTTTTTGCTTTATTTTTACAATTTTGCTTTATCTGTAAACGAGCGTTGTTAATGCGACCCTTTTGCAACAGTTGCGTTTAGTCGCCTTTGGGCTTTCAACGTGTTTGGTTCGATTCCGGGCAACTATCTACCCACATAGTAGTGCCGGGCACAATCTACCGCAATCGCAGTTTTATCTTTATAGCGCCCGACACCAAACGAGAAATCGTCAGACCTACACTTCCGACAGTATCTAAAAAAAAACCAAAAACAACAGACCTCGCGTCGGGGATATACCACGAAAGGTATATTTTTTCGCTGTCAATAGACTTATGTGCATCAGTTGAGCAATTTGTTTTCTGATCGAAACGCAATGGTAAGCACAAAAATCCGGACTGAAATCGCAAATTCCTAGAAAGCCATAATCGGACATTTTTGCTAGTTTTATGGTACTTCAACTTTCGATTAGCAGTTTAGTTTTGCACAAAAAAAAAAAAAGAAAACCTTAAAACCCTTAAGCAGAAATTCCTTATCATATCACTGTGTATACAATACTAATACAAAAATTATTATGCATATATATTTTACTTCCAATAGAAGACATTTTTTGTATGAGTATTCATAATGCTTGAGAGATTAGCCCAAATTCGAGTAGTCTTGCATAAGTGTTATAGATAATATAGAGACATTGCTGGAAATACCAATCGTATTGGTTAAGATACTATCTTATCGTGCTGTAAAAGTATCTATGTAACAAAGTGTCTACTGAAAACATCACTTGTCAATAACGGAACCGTTCGACTGAATCTGTACATTTTTTAATTTCGTTATTAATTTTGATGATATTTGTTGGTTATATTTTATAATTATTATTTATTCTTTTGTTTGCTAGCGCAGACTTAAAATGTGTGTAAACTAACTTAATTAAAATATGTGCGATGTTGGCGCACTTTTCTCTTTCTCTATCTCACGCACGCTTTGCTGCTTTGATCGCTCGTTTGCTCGTTCGCTCGCTCGCAAAAAACGCTCCACAGATCAACGAAGCTCTTGATTTGGCGCTGGAAGCTATTGACAGGGAGGCCAGCCGCACGCAGGAGGAGATGAAGGAGTTGAAGGGGCAACAAAATACTGAAAACAAAGTGCATATGCAGGAGGAGGTGAAGGAGCAGGAGCAGGAGCAGGTGAAGCAGGATAAGAATACGGATGCAGATGAAGAGAATGTGGAGATGAGGGCGGGAGAGGAGTCAAATGCCGCGATGCCAAATAAAACCGATGAGCAGAAAACGGAGGAGGAGCAGGAAAGACAGGAAGTAAAGGAACTGCAGACAGTTGATAGACAGGAGCCCATCTATGAGAACATCAGCTCGTCTATATCTATACAACAAGTAGATAATGACCAAGCAGCGATCACGATGTTAACAAGACGAAGTCAAAGAAGAAGCATTCCAAATAAAAGCAACAATAACAATAACAATAACAACGAGCATAATCAAACTAACAATAATAACAATAACAATAACAAAAACAACAACAGCAACAATCAAATTGACACCACAACAACAACAACAATCATAGCAGCAACAACTAGCGCTGACTTGGAACCCTATTATCAGGTACCGAAAGCAACAGAACCCTACTACGATGCACCCAAACATCTGCGTCCCATACCCGTCTACGAGAACATTGACGTCTTCTATACGGGCCTGGAGCTGGGACACAGTGTTGCGTCAATGGCGCCAGCGCTGGAGCCGCCCAAGGAGAAACCGCCGCCACCACCAATTGAGCCGCCGACAGATATTGCGGCTGCTGCTGATGATGAGCTAGATGCTGGCACCTGGTCATCCGACAACACGTACGAAACCATTTCCAGTAACACGCGTCGCCAGCTCCAGAGTCAGGCAGGTCAGGGCACGCCCATAGCACAACCATCGCCGCCCATCAAGCGGATGAACTCAACGAAGCGCATCAAGAAGGAGCTGCGCAATAAACGATCCAGCTTCCTGGGCATCGAGACTGATGCCGATCTCGATGATGTGGACAGCTACCTAGAGTTAACGGTAGCGCCGCCACCAGATATGGCCCAGCTGCTGCAGGAGGAGCGACGTCTCGAGAAACAGCTCTACATTAAGGCGGCTCTGTGTGACAGTTCAGACACAGGTAAGTGCGGGTGGCGGGATTGCATGAGTTGCTGGTGACCAAGCTGGTCACGAGAGGTGGAGGAAACCAATAGAGCTGAAAAACGTTCACAAAACAAATGATGGTGAGGTAAACTGGCACTGGAAACGGACGGACTGTGAGGTTAAGTATAAATAATCCGTTTAGTGCGTGTCCCATGGAAGCGGTCAGTGCTTATTGAGAGGGGATTCGGGTAAACGACTGCCAGCTAGAATCGATTAGAATCAGGCACTGCTCAACAGAAAATGTTGAGTGGTTGAACCGAAAGCACAAAAGAGGACCGAAAAAGAATAAATATATTAAAAAAATAAAAAAAAAGTACACGGAGAAAAAATAGAGAATTTTGCACTCTGATGAAAAATCAGAAAAAAGGCAAGAAAATTATTATTTAAAGAATAATTGTTGCAGTATTAAAGATTTTAAATGTAGGATCGGGATAAGAAGCAGCTACAAAATTAATCACAAACTTTCTCACTTAGAATCTTAGTGCTTATTTGAAGTAATTATGTAATCAACCAGTTGGTTCCAGATAAAATAGTAAATGGTAAAGCTCGTGTTTAATCCCTCATAGATAGAATAATAATCTTTAAGCCCTTTGTCTCTGTCTGACAGGTGAAAGTCGCGATTCGGGTGTCTCGGAGAACCATTCGCGGCAAAGCAGTGAGCACTACACCAACTCATCGGAGGAGAACGACACACAGTCGGAGGCGACGCCGCCACCAATGCCGCCACCACCAACGCAGTCGCTGGTGCCGTCGCAGCACGGCGATGTCATCTATCAGAATGAGACGCTGCATGCCGCACAGACGCCGCTGCTGCAAACGGTAAAGGGCAACTCAGCGGAGTCGTGGACGGAATCGGCAACAGCGGCAGCGGCCGCAACTCAATCGCTGAGCGAGGCAACTGCCACGGCCAATGCGAAGATGCTGTCCATTGAGGAGAAGATACGCGAACAGGGCGAAGTGCTGCGCGTGGAGCGGGAGCTGCTGCAGTTTTCGGTAAGTGAGCAGGGCATTGATTGGCCACAAGAAAGTATCTGAATTAATTGCTTCATTTTCTGTATATTTGCAGCAGGAGGAGTTGAAGCGGCAGCGGGAGAACTTGCTGCTGCGCGAGAATCTGGCAAGACGAGAACTGCAGCATGGCGCCAAAATGCTGATGTCCAACAATCGACGCTCGCTGCAGGATTTGCACCATGGCCTGGGCATTGGCAATGGCATGCTGAGCGCCTTTCAGCCACCACAGCCTCAGCTGCCACACCCGCAACAGCAGTCAGTGCAACAAATCTATGCCAATGTGCCACAACAGCAGCAGCAGCAGCAACAGCGGCCAGCGCCGCCAATGCCACAAGCTCTTTCACAGTATCACTACCAGCAGCTGGACACGGACTATCGCAAGTCCATGTCGGATCTGAATGAGTTCTCCAAGCGTCTAATGTTACCGCCACCGACGCCGCCCACAAAGCCACTGCGCGCCATGCACCTGACCACCAATGGCCATGGCCTGGAGCCGGATTATGCGGTCAGCATGCGTCAGCGCAACGGCGTCAACAGCAATGCCTATGGCGGTTCTCTGGTCAAGATTGCGGGCGCACCGATGCCAGCAGCAGCAGGAGGAGCAGTTCCTGCACCACGGCTAACTGCTAATCTGGCAGCCGCCTATCATCATCAGTCGGCACAAAATCTGAGCAACATGTCGCGCAACACGCTGCTCGCACTGAGCGCCACACCCAAGCCCAAGTACACTGACGGCTGGGTGCAGGTGCAGCAGCAGCAACAACAGCAACGGAATCTGGCCAATGATGCCGCTTGGCTGCAGAAGCGCAAATCAATGCCCGACTACAATGGGGCGCTGTACAACAATGGACATGCCAATCACTGGCTACTCCAGGAAGCCGAGCATCGTCGCCTACTCGAGCAGCAGCAACAACAGCAGCAGTTACAGCTGAACAGGCGCTCCATGCCCGTCGCCCCATCCAATGGCAAGCCGCTGCCCGATTCCATCATCCAAACGCTTACAGAGCGCGTCCAGAGCAAGGGCATTGGCGAACGCAAGCGGTAAGTAGATCTTTGCCTTAAGGAAACTATCCACAATGTTCGCGCCTTGGTCACCTTCTAATTGAGATCTAATTATTATCTTCAAAGTTCTCACTTTATTTAAACTTTCTCGTTTTCTGTTTTTTTGTTTTTCGCTCACAGCTTTGATGGCAATGGCAACTACAGTCTGTTGAATAGTAATGGCATAAATGGAATAAAGCCGCTTGGCAACAACAATAACAACAACAACAGCAACAGCAACAACAGCAGCAACAATAGCAACAGCAATATCACTGCCAGCAGCAATCAGGACAAGGTGCTCAGCGTTAGTGGCAAGAAGAAGTGCTCGCATTGTGGCGACGAATTAGGTAAACTTTGCTACTACGTTGGTTGTGAGTGTGGTTCTTCTTTCTCTTCTTCTACTTCTTCATCTTCAGCCATAAATTCCAATGCTGAAAAGCAATGATTAATCATTTCTAGGCTTGACAGCGGTCAATCAGCATCTGATACATAAAATTGCTATTAAGCTTGTTTTGTAAATGTGCATCGTATGAAAGGTTTTGAGACCGTCGAAATATGCATTCTCAATATCTGAGAGTATCCAGATATCATTCATCATAAGGATATTTCGAGTGCGCGACTATCCTTCAACTAGATAAAATCATAAGCCTTTTGCGATCAACCCATCAAAACAAAAGACATTTTCTAGGAATGCTATCGTAATAATGTTGTAAGATGTAAAGCTATCTTGTCAATTACACAAGTGTAAAATACTTTCTCATCTTCTCTTCCTTTTCCCCCCTCTCTCTCTCTCTCTCTCTGTCTTTCTATTCTTTCTTATGTGCTTACATGTCTGTCACAGATTTGGGCTGTACCCACGACAATTGTCGTCAGGTGCACAAGGCGCTCAAATACATTGTTTGGGTTTAAGGCTGGCGCCACCGACAAATAAAGACTTTTATCTAAAGACTTAAACACGTTAAACTTAATTAAACTTAACTTAAATTTAGCTGCATTTTAAGGCTGCCCTTAAGGTACTTCACAGCTGACATTCTTAAAAGATTTCCCAGAATTGCAATTAATTGAATGTTTTTTTTTGTTTCCAATTTGCACATAGGTCGCGGAGCTGCCATGATCATTGAATCGTTGCTGCTGTTCTATCACATCAACTGCTTCAAGTGCTGCGTCTGCCACGTGCAACTGGGCGATGGACTCAATGGCACCGATGTCCGTGTGCGGAACCACAAGCTCCATTGCCAGAACTGTTATTCCAGCGACGATGGCATCAAATTCAGTTGTGTCTAAGCTCTAAGCGGGACTCTGGACATGCATGCGTAGACTTAGATTCAGTAGTTGTTATAGCTCATTTGTTGCAACTTTCGATTGTTGTTGTTGTACTAATACATACATATATACATGCTTACATACATACATACATAAATACATATAGTATATGTTAAATGTTAAACAAAATGGAACCATAAAGTCAATATGAATATGAAATGTTTTCAGCTTAACGTTAATCATCGAATGCAGCGTTCAATTTTGTAAATTGCATTAGAATGATAATGTTTTCGATTCGGATTTTAACTTTTTATATATTATATGTATACATAAACGCGATAACGATATATATATGTATATATATATACAATCCAAACTCTCTCGCTCTGATGTTTTTTGCAAAATCAAAGTCAATTTTTTAAATACATATAATATAGATAAAGATATGTATCTGTATATCAAAAAAATTTAATGTGTGTTGAAACATATAGACGAAAAATTTCTATGAATGTTGTTAAATTTTTTAAATATTGTATATTGCCCACATTTACATGCATACATATATATATATACTTACAAACATATATACGTATTTATGTATACTGTACATTAAATAATGTACATGCTGAATTGTTTATTAGCAGATGAATTTACTTATGCACATTTTATTTTTCATTAATTTAACAACACTGTAAACTACCTTTGAAGATTTGCAACACGCCCAGCTCCTAAATACCATACGAAACCTTCACGACGTACCCAATGTACCTAAAATGATGTAGTACATACATACATACATACATACATACATACATACAATTATACATACAAACATAAACGAGCATACACTAACAAATTTACAAACATATATCTGCATAACTAAAGCGATTTAAATTCTAATTGTCGTTATTATTTGTATAACTGGAAACAAAAAATATTGTATTTAACATATTTGTATTTTCTTATTCTTATTTATTGTAATTAAGCATAAATTTCATGAAAATGCATGAATGTTGTAAACATTTCGGAATGTTATCAACATCATTCAATCTGATTTTGATGCGCATTAATTTAAATACCAATTTTAACAATTAATCGGTATGTGAAACACTTTTTCTGTAAAAAGGCAGCTTGAATTTCGTTTAGTTTTAAATAAAATACATACATATTTCAACCATACCCAAAATGGGTATATTTTCTTTGTTTTAATATCCGTTTGCAGCGATGTTTTGTCAGTGATTTGAACGGTTTAAAAAATACCTAAACATTAAATTGCTAAATACTGTAGGCATACTTTTGGGGGCATGTAGATGACGATAGGCTCTACAGCCTCTAGCCCGGCCATATTCTTGCACAGTTTAGACGGATATGCTGCTTTAGGATCAGAAGGATGGATTATTATATCCAAAAACCAAACACTTGGAAAGTTTCAGTTGGAGGGAAACTGGAATTGGGACCAAAACGCAAAATCCTTGATAGCTCGGAAACTACAAGGACGGTTTGGATGTCCGTTGGTCAACTTATAACCCTAATTAAAACGTGTCGCTTGGCACATGATTTGCAAGGACACGCTTTTATCACTTACATAAAAAATCCCTTTTACTTGGCTCTTGGAATTAGCTTCATCCCTTTATAGCTTAGCTCTAATCGCCAACTCAAGGTCCACATTGGGTCCAAAGGACTAAGGAAATGGCCCAGTTACACAGGATTTTTGTAATCTCTCGACTACTTTTTCGATTTTGAGTCATCAATTCGCCATAAGTAAAGCATCTCCTGCCAATTGGTATCCTTTTAGATTATATCAAATTAAGACAGAGGCGGAGAACCTGTTCCCTTTTGCTTGAATTATAAATGTAAATATCTGATTGATCTGAGCACTTTATTACTTAGACGCATCAACGGGAAATACACAATACGTAGAATTTACTTTGCTCTTAAATCTGACTTAAAACCCAATTAGCAGCACCCTGACTAAGCCGTAGGCAGGAATGTCAGTTTCTCGTTGAGCTGCAGCTGCGTCTTAATTAATTGCGAGAGCGTGATAACCATCAGCAGGTCGCGTACGTTGGCGTTGAACATTTGGGTGAACTGTTCATGCGTCATGTGTGGCACAGAGTGGATGAGGTCGAGCAGCTGGCGTCCAACTGCGTTATCCGGCGTCACTTTGTGGGCAATGACATCGTCGACGTATTTTAGTATTAGGTCCAGTAGCGATTGCAGTTTCTGCGAGGCCTCTGAAATCTGTGCCAGATCCAGCATGGGCGGCACGGTCTTAGGTCGTTGTGCCGGCGACACGCCCACAGTTTTCTGCAACAGTTTGAGGCCAAAGGTCTCTGGCTCATAGCTGGTCAGCTCGACGGGTATGGGTGTGAACATGCAGCCAGTTTTGCCACCGGGCACGCCCAGCTGGATGCACACATAAGCGCGCAGCCCCATGCGGCCGCCCTGCAGCGAAGTGTCCACAGTCAGATGAACCGGATTGTTGCACTCGCGCGCATAGTATTCATGAATGACAGAACTGTGGTTCGTCACCTCGTTGCCGGTGGCCCACCAGCCGACCACGCTCTCGTTGGAGTTCACCTTACGGTTTAGGTCGTACATGTCCAGAGCGTAGCTTAGTTCGGCCTCCACTTGGTCATCATGCTCCTTGTGCGGCACGCAGAAGCAGTTGGTAACCTCAACGACTCCCTTGTCAACAGAGCCCAGCAAAGTGCCGATCACACGATGTGAATCAGCATTGCGGCGTTCAAATGCATCCACAACTTGGAATAGCACAACGGGATGCACGCGTACGGTCAAATTAAGTGCCGACATTGTTATTACTTCGTACGAAAAGTGCAAAATTTTACAATTTAGCAATCGCCACGCTGCGAGAAAAGGATGGCAGGGCTGGAAAAATACTCCCGATATTTTGTGGTGGCAAGCCGATTCTTAAGCGCTGTCCACTTATGTCTACTATGGGCTACACTTCTTAAAGTGCTGCCAATCAATTAATGGCTTAGAACTATTTTGGTGCTTTTTAACTGAGTTTACACAAAATAAATTAGACGATTCTTTATAATATACTATAAATATATAACAAAATGAAATACATATTTTAATAAATTGAAGTAAATAAAATGATATTGTGTTGATATTTTTAAATGAAAAGTGGAACTATTTTCTAAAGGTCTAAGAAAACACAGCATACTCTTAGTATTAAAATAATAAATAATATAAGACAGAAATAAAGAACATACTTTTAGGCTGGAAAATAAAGTCACCACTCAAACCCTGTGAGACACTGTCAAATTCTAAAGCATATTTATATGAGCACACAGGTGACTTATTTATAACAGAAAATTGCAAACAACTCGGTTCTAGCCTTGTATAATTTTGCCATCATTTTATTGGTCGAATCCTGCAAATTCTTAAATGCCAATCGGTAGTCCTGTTCCTTGAGCTCGAAAAGATGGGTCCCTTCTTGGATATGGCCCAGTTATGGCTTAGAAACCCCTTTTCTTTTAACAAAATTAGCTAAAGCTAAGGCAAATCATTATGGATTTCCGAAAGAAATAGCCCGGTTCTGGTCAAGTCCCGCAATACGAATCGAAACGAAATGTTTTTCATACATAAAAACAAATTTTATTAAATAAATTTACATTATGCTTACTTAGCATAAATACGCTAGGGAAGTAATGGTTTATCTACTACGTGAGATTAGCCCATAGAGTGAGGACCTGATTGCTAACATATCTTTGAATATTAACTAAGAAGCCCTTTCGCTTGTGACAAAGACACACATACAATCAAATATATTCAATGGAAATACAATCATGCTACAGCTAATCTCTACCACACTTCACACTTGTGCACAGGATTCATGGGGGAGCCCTCTGGGCATTGGAAATCCTTGGCAAAGTCCTTCATGTTGCTCATTGAGCCCAACACTCGGAACTCTGTGGGAGAATGCACACCAGTGGTGATTCTCATCTTCAGGGATTCTGTAAATTTTGTGATGAGTATATATTATTTTTGTTAAATTCCATTTATTTTGTTAGCTTACCTTTCCGATATTTGCCACACCAAGTCTGTCCAGTTGAGATCCAGAACATTTGGACAGGTGTATAGTCCAGGCCAGGCAACTTCGGTTCCGGCCCGTGCTTCTCCACCCAGCGTTTATATGCAATATATGACTCCTTGAGGCCACCATTATCAGCTATATTTTCGCCCTGGGTATTGATGCCGTTCAACTGTCAGCAGAATAAATGAGAACCAATGAAAAAACAATTTAAAGTATCAATCCAGACTTACATTCAAGCCAGTGAGACGGTCCGTGTAGTTGCCATACTGTTCAATAATACACTGAGCCTTCTTCAGGTATGCCTTGTGTGTGTCCGGCTGCCACCAATCCCGCAAGTTGCCCTTCACATCAAACTGGCGACCCTGATCATCGAATCCGTGCGTTATTTCATGACCAATAACATAACCAATTGCACCGTAGTTCATGTACTTGGGTCGCTGGGCACTGAAGAATTGCCCCTGCAGTATGCCAGCAGGGAACTCTGTAAAAATGATGAGAAATAATGATGCAACACTCTGTGTATCTATTTTGAAAGTCTTCAACTTACGTATACTATTCTCCAGGGGGGAGTAGAAGGCATTCACAACTGCTGGCCGGGCATGGCGCACCCAGTCGGTTTTATTGATCGGCAGACGCAGTTTGTTGAACGAGTAGTCTGTGCCAAAGATGTTCATCTTCAAGAAGGATTCAAAATAACGATCTGGATCGATGTCCAGTTTCTCATAGTATTTGGCCAGCTTGTCGTTGTCCAGCATCTCGTCGGGATAGCCAATGTGGGTGGCCATGCTGTACAGCTTCTGCTGAGCCTCCTTCTTCGTCTTGTCATCCATCCAGTTGATTTCATTCAATATGTCGCTGAACACATTGCGTATGTCATTGACCATTTCCAAAGCATTCGCCTTGGAGTCCTTATTGAAGTGCTTGCGAACGTAGAGCGAACCCACGGATATGCCAAGGCTGACATTAATATTTAATAGTTTATTGATTACATTGAGCGTTGTGAATTCAATATCGAATTTGTTTTCATGTGATGTTCATGTGGTTGGTTGTACCAGTTGTAGTTGTAGTTGTTATTGTTGTTGTAGTTGTTGTTCAGTGCATTTTTTTTGAATGGTGAACAGTCGAGTCGAATTGACGTGAAAGTGGAACATAAAATGATAATTTTAATGAATTATTTACTTAAATAAAAATAATAAAGTTAATGCCTTTTCTCTCAACTTATATTTAACAGAAGCAAACAATTCTATGAAATAGACAATAAGTCCAAATTTTGCAGTCGGACGAAACCGACTGAGTAATACTCTGACACCTAAGGAACGATTTCTGAAAACAAATGGCAAAGCGTCGCTTCCTATGAAGGGACTTTGGTTTAATCCTTTAACAAGGGTATTAGAATTTTGAGACTTCTAAGAGCATTAATAAAATTTTGGCTTACCAATAATTTACCCTCAACATTTTTTTACATCTATGTTCTCATTGATTTGTCAGATTTGTCAGCACACTTTAACAATATCGGACAAAAGTAACGCTTGATTCTACTTTATTCTACCTTCAGTCTCAGAGTATAATATTCTTTCTGTACAAAAAAAAAAAAAAGCATAAGAGATAAAGAAAAGAAAATTCAACCAAAGATGGTACAGATTTTCTATTCTCCAAAATTCAAACCTAAGAAGTTTTTTCTTTATGCTATACGCTTTCCTCCAATAAGGTTATCAGTCTAAATTCGTTAGTTCGGCTTTTACTTGAACTGAATAGTAATAAGTATTGTTAATAGAAACGATATATGGCAAATAAACAGATTCAATTTTCGTATGTAAGGCTTAAATGTCTTATATCGTTTTTGTGGGCGCCATTAAAATCAATGTGTATGTGGGGTCAATATATGTGCAAATTGTTTATGTGGATGGATAGCAGTGTAAGTTATCTGTTCCGAGCAGATGAAGTAAATTTTGTTGTATTTATTTCTATATACTTAGTAATATCTTCTTCAAGTACGCCAAAGTCACTGCAAAATCACAAAGAAATCAATCAGGAAATAAACGAAAACAAAGATAAGAAGAAAAGCTGCATTATCTTTGAGTTGCCAAAGCATAAATACCCTTGCAGACATATGGAAAATCATTTCATTTGCTGATCAAACTACTGCAATTATTACAAAAGTGAGTTTAACTAAGTTTGTAATCAAGGATTGAAAAATATGCAGTATCATCAAACAAATAACTTGTTATTGTCCCTCTCCCATCGATCTCATCTGAGGCCGACAATAAATTATTTGAAAATGAGTTCGAATTCGATCGGATAAAACGCAAAGTATTTCCATATTTAGGTACGATTTTCCACAATCCTGGAAGAACTGTGATAAATTGAGCTCTTATCTATGACACATGTACCCTCTGCAAGGGTATACAAAAAAGCAGAAATAAGTTCCCTAAATCTCTAAATCAGCACGCTACTCAGAAAACAACAGATAGCTGTTGTGGTTATATTTACTAACCTGCCAGCAGCAATATCCACGCACTCCTTCCAGCGTGCCTCCTGCTCCTGTCGGCCGGACAGCGCAGTGGCATATTGCAGCTGCCGCTTGCGGAACTCCTCGCTGAGGAAGCCAATGGAGAAGGCATGTATGCGCCACATCATGTAGTTGGCAATCACGCGATTGGGCGTCTTGGCCAGCAGTTTGCCCAGTTCCTCGAAGAAGGACGGCACCGTCAGATTAATTACCTCATCGTCCTGCACGCTTAGGCCAACGGGCAGCAGGGCATTCATGTAGTCCACCCATTGCACGTACGGATAGGCGGCCTGCAATTGTTGCACCGAGCGTGGATTGAACAGCTGCGATGAGTTGCGACGCTTCTCATTAGGCCACGAGATCTAAAATGTCCAAATGGGAATCAGAATAACAGCGGTCATATTAATATTGTTGTGGCACTTACGTTGGCCAGCGCCATCTCAAATTCGAGGGATGTGAGCAGCTGGGTCTTGGCCTGGTCTTTGTTGGCGCCAAAGAGCACCGCAATGTCCACCATGTAATCGTAATAGGCAGTGACCAGTGTCTCATTGAAGCCCTTCATCAGGAACTCGCGACTCAGAGCCAACGTGGATTGATCCAGCTAAACAGAATCAGAGTTAAATGAGAGAGTCCTGTGAATGCAGCTTCGACTTACATCGATAATGCGCTTGGTGCTATTCTGCAGATCCACACCAATGGAGAAATCAATGATATAGTCCATGCTGAAGCCGGCGGCACGGAATTTCTTGACCTGCTCCTGCCAGGTCCAGCTGTCGTCTGCATTCCAAGAGTCGCCCTCGATCAGGGGCCAGCCGCCAAGTGATTTGGCAATCTCAGCAATTGGCTTCGCACCCAGCGATTCAATCAATGCTGCAAAGAGAATACAATTCATTAATTTTACTTAGTTCTGTAGGATCCTTTCGGAGCTAATCACTTTTGTTCATGCAGGCCCTGTACTGCAAGTTGGGAAGACGGAAGTGTTTGGGCTCGGTGTCGGGTCGCTCGGCTGTGATGATGTCCTTAAGCTGCTCCTGCAACTTGTCCGAGATGACAGAGAACGTACTAATCGATACCTTGTCGTCGGGTATTTTCTCGTCCTCAATGTAGGCGCCGCAGGCAAACTCATAGAAATTATCACACGGCTCCACCTCGGGCTTCATCTTTTTGAGCACCGTGGAGGCGGTGTGTATGCACTCCTTGGTCAGGCAAATATTATCCGACTCCGCCTTGCCCTTGGTACCGACAACGGACGGCACTTTGTTCATAGTGGTGCTATCGCCATGCAATGCGGTCGGCTCTGGTGGCTCCTCCGGCAGATCAGAGCCCGGCCCGGCCATCGGTTTGAGTACATCGAATATCCAGAGGCCAAAGGCCGAGACGGCGACCAGGAACAGAATACCGCTCAACATAAGCAGGCTTCTCTCCAGCTTGGTGCGTCGGCACCACCAGTTGGGATTCCTACAAAAGAGCAAACAGAAAGAGCACACAAGTTAAGCTAATATCATAAATCTTAATTAAAAGACGCCCCCGCCGTGCTCGGCAAAGAGTAAAAGTTAATTTCACTTTGTCTTGTTTTCGATTTTTGTCGCCAAAGTTGCGTTGTCATTCATAATCAATTCACTTTTTCTTTGGCTATCACCCGTTGGCCATCTCGTTTATCTTGTGTCTGCCTCGTGTTTTGTTTGTCTTTAAAGTTGTTTATCAACATTGCCCCCCCCCCATGCAGCAGGCAGCACTGTGCCACAAATTTAAGGTAAACTCATCATCAGCTTCTGTGCGAGTTTCCCCTCCAGCAAATCATCGCTGAAAACTCAGCTTTGACAAACCTGTGATCATTCTTAGTACGACATAAGAGATGACGAAATAGGATGCATAAGGAGGCATTACATCTTGGCAAATGATGTTATAACAACCCGCTCGGAAATATTCGGAGTCAGTTGCACAAATTCAAGCAACTTTGCGTCCAGTTGGAGTTCATTTTAGTGTAAACTATGAAAACAAGTCATAACTGTCAAAACCGGTTGCATAGTCCATGTAAATTGACCACTTCCTTCCGATTTGCAAGTGACGGTTGACTGTTGTTTTTGACGATTTTGTAAGAGTTTTTGTTTTGAACAAAAATAGATATCGACAATCCAAACTGGTTATATTTTGTGGGCCAGCCACAAAAGTTTGAATCGACGAGAGGTTTGACTTGCTTGGTATTTGGCTTTAATGAATCAAACACAAAAAACAAAAAAAAAAAAAAAACAAATTCGAAAGAGATTCAAAAACACACTCACACACACACACACACACACATACGCAGATACACACCACATACGTTAATGTTAGCCAATGGTTTAGTACCACACAATTTCCGTGATGAGTTTTTAGCACGCTTCAATTACTGCTGAAAATTATAAAATAATGATGCCAGGAGTTACGAGCTTTTGCTGCAGACCCAAGCCCCAACCCACTTTAATGACCGATTAAACCAGACTCAATAAATTTACCCATAGGCGATTTAATATCATTTGTTTTTTGTATAACCCGTGCCAAAGGTCAGCGCTAAAAAAAACCAGTCTTTGGTTTTAAAATCATGCGTTGGCAAATTTATAATTTTTTTTTTGATATCGCAAGGAAACATTTCCCTTTTAATGGTTTCCCCTGCGTTCGTTATTGTTTTCTTTTTAATTATAAGAAAATAAACTTGTAATGCTATTGGTAAAGAGAAGCTACGTAAAACATTATTTATATCTATATCTATAAAGATATCTATAAAGATATAGATATATATATATAGCAAAGACTTCATTTTGATGCTGAACATTTTTTACATTTCTAATTAATTACATTCTTTGTTAAACATATTAAAGTGTTATTACAGTAAATAAGAAAGAGATATTTAAATAAACTAGAATTTATAAATGAATTTTCAAGTTCTCATTTAACCGAATTTTTCGTATACAAAAAAGTGTTCAACAGAATGTTCTGAATAAATTAAGGGATTGGCTAATAATCAGATTGCAAAACTGAACAACATGAGCGTAAAGTTAAATATATATATACATCCGAGTAGTACTTGTTTCGAAAGCAATTATTTTGTTTAATGCGGCTGAACCTTTTGCTATCGCTATTGTTAACATCACAAATGGAACACTCGCCAGCAACAACAACAGCAACAACAGCAAAAAAATTGCATGAGGTGAACAATAAACCCAATGACAACCTCGACGCGAACAAAAATAACTTATATGTGCTTCTAATTTGTGCATTTTATTTAAATTGTTACACGCTAATGTTTATTTCAAAATATGCACTCTCGCCCTCTGGCTTGTAAGGAGAGCACTCCAAAATTAATTCTTAAGTCAACAAATTTTAAAATCAAAAAATCGAATTAAAGTCAATTTTTATAATTACAGCCAGAGTAAGAAAAAAAAGACAAATACAAAAATTAATAATTCGCAGTGTTTAACCAGTTTATAAATGATGTTATCCGTTTTTTTTTTTGCGTTTCGATGTTGTTGAGAATTCGTTTAATTGTCCATTATGTAAATTGGGAAGGTTTAGCAATTATACTCGGAAAAAGTTGAATGGCACTTGTTGAGAAATCATTGTGCGGAAAACAAACGAATATACATATATAATTTTAAAATATTGGCAAAAATCAGTAAAATTGATGTCTTTTACAGGTATATAAATCAACAGTTTGAAATGGGTTTAGTAGCTCACACAACTTTTCTGTTTGTCAAAGTGCCCACTTAGTGTTAACATAGTAATTTATGTCACAAACAAGAGGAAATTGCTGTGAAAAGTTCAGCTTCCTAGCTTGGGCCACTCTATCAGTCAGTCAGTCAGTCAGTCAGTCAGTCAGTCAGTCAGTCAGTCAGTCAGTCAGTCAGTCAGTCAGTCAGTCAGTCAGTCAGTCAGTCAGTGGACGAACTAAAATCCGGCTTGTTAAGCAATATGCGAATGCCGGAATACGGAATATTATTGCGATGCCGAATTGGGGCTTAGTTAAAGTAAATTATGAGCTGAGTACGTTTCACATCCGACGATTGTCTATCCATTACTTAACAATCCAATTAGTTGAATTCAAATCGTGCCTGACCATTAGCAGCATCTTTCAACTGGGCATCGGCATTTCCCCTTTCAGCCGAAGCACATCAGGCACGAAACTCTTACCGCATGCAGTATTCACGATATGATCCCCAATTTCAGAACACGTATCCGATGCTGTAGCCTGTTCCCGTAGGTTGATGCAATTGTTACCCGCTTAATATTCAATGCAATGCTTATGCAACTGGTTACTGACAACTGGCATTGATTTTCGCAGCAGCAGCACCATTGCGTCTTTGGGTCTTATCAGCGCAACATCAGCAGCCCTATCACACCTAATATCGTATATGAGTAACAGCAGTGCCTCTTTCTCTATCTGTATCTCTATCTGTATCTGTATCTCAATCTGTATTTGCATTTGTATCTGTATCTCTATCTGTATCTGTATTTGTATTTGTATCTGTATCTGTATCTGGCTTGAAGCACCGAGGGGTGTTTGCTGATTGTGAATATTCGCATTTTATTTATGCGGCCCAGGTGCTGCCCCGATTGTACACTGACAACTTTATATGTACAAGCATCGCTCTCCATTGGGGGCGGCGGGCGGTCAGGGGGGCGTGTCAATGGGCGTCGGCTTCAAACTGTGCTTTTGTCTATGAGTTGCCCAATAAATGTGTCAAGTGCAGGCGGCGCTTTTGCCATTGACGTGACACTTTGCCGTCACCAACAACAGCGTCGCACACACACATGTGTGTGTGTGTGTGTGTGTGCCTCTGTGTGTGTGCGTATGACATTTGGCAACATTGCTTCCCTTTAGGGTTTTTTTTCATCTCTATTTTAATATATTTTATTTACTGTCGATCTTCCCAGTGGCGCATTTTCTTTAACTCAACCCAAGTTAAATGACAGTGGCGCCTCAAGACAAAAATCTAAGCCAGCATTTTGTTTATGATAAATACAACAACTGATTAAGTATTTGTCATAAGTCAAATTTGTAGCTCAATAACACTTTCCAAACTCAACTTATTCCTTTTTCAAATTCAAATAATTTTATGTGTAACTTTTTGTATTGCAGATGTTCATTTACGTTAGCGAAGTTTGACTGTACTTGTGTGTATGTGTTTTTTTAAATGATATTTTTACTCATTTTTGGTGTGTCAAGTCGTTTTCTTTATCAATATTCAACACTGTGATTGACAACCAATTTCAAAAGATGTTTTTTAGTTTCTTAGAAAAATTTGAATGGCAGCATTTCCTTTTCTTAAGCTTTTTTGTGCTAAAACAAATTTGAGTTTAATAGCTTGAGCTATATACATATACATATATATGTATATAGATATACATTTGTATTTGTTGCATCATCTGTTATGTTTGCCTGAGTTGATCAAATGGTTTGCAAATCAAATGCATGTGAATCCACTGACCACAATTAGTTCTGAACACACATTTAAGATTAGGCTGTAAATCTGTTTTCCAAGCTGATTCCAGATTCTTCAAATCGGTTAACTATGTCGATCCCCAGCTTACATTTGGAAAGTGAGTGTACCTTTTAAAAAGTATTTCGATTTTGTAAAGAAAAGGAGGATATATTTTTTGAGTGGAACTGGGACTGGACTGGAGTACTACATAATATTAACTGCAATTTAGAAATATTATAAAAAGGTCTCCAAAACGGAAATCACTTGGCGCAGCAGCTTGGCGCATGTCAAAAGATGACAGTGCCATTAGCAGTGGGCTTTTGTTGTAATATGTACCACATGGGCTTGTCCATCAGTGCGAATGGCCTTTGTTAGCTGGAGTCGCTGTCAGACTTTCCCACTTAAGTGTGTTGTTGTTGCAGTGATATTCGTAAAGCCCAAACAAAAAGCAGCGACGAATTGCCTTCCAAGTGTTAATTTGTGCCACAGACACAATTACCTAATACATTTTAATTACGCCTGACTTGGGCCCGAGATACTATAAGATGAGACAAACACTCACTCAAACACACACACACACACACACACACACACACACACACACTGATATATGTTGTGATGGGTTTTCTGTTTGTTTTGCACAGTTGATGTTGTAGTCATTTTAGTCGTTGCTTGTTGTAGATTTTTTAATTGCTCGCAATATTTGAGCTGTCATATCATTTAAGTAACTGCGTGTGCGCTCATTAAAACTGACGGAATGCAGCCACAACACTCTCGGAGAAGCAACTTAATTTGCTGATAACAGAACAGAAGATTTACGTGAATGCATTCCGCATATCGATCGATAGCGAATTGAAACTACAAACTATGCCAAATCAAAAGCAACAAACATAGCAAACAACGAATCAATTAATTATTCATCAAATTGCTTCATTGAAATCTAAAGTGCCCGACAAGGAGTTACCCAGCACGCTGCTCTAACATAATTCAAGCTGGTCA